TACAGTAAGGGCACAGAGAGTCCACTCGTATTGCCCCTTTGTCAGGTTCCATGTGCTGGGCGTATAATTAGAAAGGATATTTTGCTCTGTAAAGGTACATTCATTGACTATGCAAAAGCCTTTGACTGTGTCGACCACAGCAAACTATGGCAAGTTCTTAAAGAAATGGGAGTGTCTGATCACCTCATCTGTCTCCTGAGAAATCTCTATGTGGGACAAGAAGCTACAGTTAGAACTGGATATGGAACAACTGATTGGTTCAAAATTGGGAAAGGAGTACGGCAAGGCTGTATATTGTCTCCCTGGTTATTTAACTTATATGCAGAATTCATCATGCGAAAGGCTGGGCTGGATGAATCCCAAGCCGGAATTAAGATCGCCGGAAGAAATATCAGCAACCTCAGATATGCAGATGATACAACCTTGATGGCAGAAAGTGAGGAGGAATTAAAGAACCTTTTAATGAGGGTGAAAGAGGAGAGCGCAAAATATGGTCTGAAGCTCAACATCAAAAAAACGAAGATCATGGCCACTGGTCCCATCACCTCCTGGCAAATAGAAGGGGAAGAAATGGAGGCAGTGAGAGATTTTACTTTTTTGGGCTCCGTGATAAATGCAGATGGAGACAGCAGTCACGAAATTAAAAGACGCCTGCTCCTTGGGAGAAAGGTGATGGCAAACCTAGACAGCATCTTAAAAAGCAGAGACATCACCTTGCCAACAAAGGTCCGTATAGTTAAAGCCATGGTTTTCCCAGTAGTGATGTATGGAAGTGAGAGCTGGACCATATGGAAGGCTGATCGCCGAAGAATTGATGCTTTTGAATTATGGTGCTGGAGGAGACTCTTGAGAGTCCCATGGACTGCAAGAAGATCAAACCTCTCCATTCTGAAGGAAATCAGCCCTGAGTGCTCACTGGAAGGACAGATTCGTGAAGTTGAGGCTCCAATACTTTGGCCACCTCATGAGAAGAGAAGACTCCCTGGAAAAGACCCTGATGTTGGGAAAGATGGAGGGCACAAGGAGAAGGGGACGACAGAGGACGAGATGGTTGGACGGTGTTCTCGAAGCTACAAACATGAGTCTGACCAAACTGCGGGAGGCGGTGGAAGACAGGAGTGCCTGGCGTGTTCTGGTCCATGGGGTCATGAAGAGTCGGACACGACTAAACGACTAAACAACAACAACAACAACAACAAAGGTACATTTGGCCTCAGCGATAGGAGTCCAGCAATGAATCATTTAGCCAGTGCAATGGAGGAGGAAGAGGTTGATAATGCGAGACTAACTGGTACCTGTAGCAGCAGCTGGAGCATGGCCTGCAGTGCCACCTGGTGGCCGATCTCAGAACTTCCATGCCCATCCCAGATTTAAAGCTTTAGGCATGTGTTTTACACCCCCCCCCAATAATTCACAAGCAGGAAATATCCGAAACAGCTCTTCCCCTGAAATATACTCGGAGTCGAGAGTGGATTTCATGCTCTATATTCAGCTCATAGTAGCGATGAATGAAAGTTCACCCACAATATCTGCTTTATACACATTATTTACACAATGGGCTGCACGTGACTGGCTAATTCCGGGATTCTCCTGTAGGCCAATCAGGTTGTGGATTCACTTCCACCTGGAGCTGGATTGGGTGGCTCCTGCGGACCAATCAGGCTGCTGCATGTTGGATCCTATTGTTCTAGGACCAATCAGACTGTTGCATTTTGGATCCAATTCAACTCAGTACATAACATCCTCACAAACCACCCCCAAATTTCCCAACATAGGAATAGTGTGAGTGGAGGCTGGGTGCACCACATTGGAGACCCCAGGCGGAGTAGTAGGGGAATCTCATCCTTTACTTCCACAGGAAAGGGGGATGAGAAGCCTGGCGTTCCATCGTGTCCAAAATATGTTTCTTTTCTCTTGCTCTATTGGCACAGTTCCCGGAAAGAAAAGTGGCAAGTTGAATGTACCTTTTGGCAAGGTCAGCTAGCCTGAGAAGCGACCTTTGCTACAGCAGAGCAAAATGCGTCTGATGCTTAGCTAATGCCGTTTAGCTGCTGAGGAAATGATTTGGAAAAGCTTTGAGAAGCTTTGAGCCTGCTTTTGGGGGGGGGTGACTTCGGGCCTAGGTGGGGTCACCTGTCCTCACCTCCTTCAGAACGACTCCTCCATCATGTAATAAAACAATTACCTGCAAGTAAAAAGCTAGCCCGTCAGGAGGAAAGGGTCTCTCCAGCCTCCTCCTCGCCACATTAGTTTTTAATTTGGCTGGGAGTGTTTTCATTTATCACAAAAGTGTCCATTTACCTGCAGGCTGATGCACTACATTCCTGTCTTCCACATCAGGATTACATGCTTAAAGGGCATGCAAATATTTCTGCTCTGAGACACTTCCCGCTGCAGCATTTTGTTGCACGGTCCCACATGCTAATAACAGCCTTATGCGTGCCGCCAAAATGGCACTTTCCATGCAGAGGATGCTATCAGCAGGCTTGGGGTTGCAGAACTACAAAAACGTTGCAAACGAACAGCTTAAGGAAGACTGATAACACACATTGCGCCTGGAAAGGGAGGTGCGGAGAGTGGGGAATAGAGTGGCTTAGATCCTGAAGAGGCAGCACTCTGCACTGCAACGTTTTGTTACAGGTTCCACTTGTTCTCATGTATTTGGACGCAAGAGTGCAACATCCATAGCTCCTACAGCTATTGATCTTCGGATCAAAGGCGGCATGCAAATTTAATCAATAAATAACAAGAACACGGAAATCAACGCTCCATGGGGATAAAACCTCTCTTTTTTTAAAAAAATGCATCTGGTGCAGTTATCTCAAGACATAGCTGACATATGTACAGCTGCTTTGATGCTGGGAGCGATTAGGGGCATTAAAACGCTTTGCAAGCGCTTTGTCCAGTAGCGAAGTGACCTTCTCTATATGGCGGCGCCTATGCGGCCACCTACCTTTTCCCTTATTTGTAGTGCGCGTAACTAACGTTCCGGCGGCAAACAAGGATCCCAGCTGGAAGGTTCCGACTAGCTGACGTGGCGGGGAATGCCTGTGGGCGTGGCTATGCTAATAAACCAGACAGAAACACAGTTTGTTGTCATGATGGGATGCAGAGGCATAAGCAAAGACTTTGTTTTAGTGATAGGTGGTGTAAGTAAACCTTTTTTTAAAAAAGCATTAGCAATAAATAAAGGAAGTCATTTCAAAGAAGAAGGCAAGCAGGGGAGCGGGGGGCGCAATTTCAAAATTTGTAAAGACAGGGGAAAAAGCAGAATGCATGAAATGCAACTTGTTAACGTGTTTAGGAAACTTGATCACTCTCTGGAGGTGGGCGGGTAGCCTTGGATTCTAATAATCCTCCTTTTGTACGTTAAAGTCACTTGCAGGCTGGTTTGTGTTTTGTTTCAGCTGCATCCCAAGGAATTAACCCTCGCAGGAATTGTGTAAAACTTTGCTCTAAAATGCTTAAATCAAGTTGGCATGTTGACTGGTAGATTTTTAAGCACAGAAAGGTCTAGCTGGGGGCAGGGTGTGTATGTGTGTAAGCACCAGTTGTTTAAATGATTACATTAGTGAAGATGGGGGGGTGGGAAGGATGGAAACTTTTTATGTGAGACCTTTGGATATATAGTGGTACCTCGGGTTACATACGCTTCAGGTTACATACGCTTCAGGTTACAGACTCCACTAACCCAGAAATATTACCTCGGGTTAAGTACTTTGCTTCAGGATGAGAACAGAAATCATGCTCCGGCAGCACGGCGGCAGCAGGAGGCCCCATTAGCTAAAGTGGGGCTTCAGGTTAAGAACAGTTTCAGGTTAAGAACGGACCTCCAGAACAAATTCAGTACTTAACCTGAGGTAACACTGTAGAGTGGTATATAAATTCAATTAATAATACAAAAAACAAACAAACTGCAAAATACAATGTGGACTACTGTCAAAAATATGTCAAGGGATGACACGCCAAGTCTGGTAGGGCTTACTTCCTCTGAACGGGCCAAGCGTGGTTCAGAGTCTTGCAGCATGCAATGCTTTCTCACCAGTGTCTGCTGCACATTGCTTTGGAACAGTTTCTTTCAGGGAAGGGAATCCGTCTGTACAGCTCCTTCTCGGAGCAATTCACTTTTCAGTACCAAAAAAGAAGAAGTTGTTTTGGGCCCTTGTGCCTGCAGGAGGATGTTTGAAGATGTGAGGCAAAAGACTGTGGTGCAAAGAAAGAAAGAAAGAAAGAAAGAAAGAAAGAAAGAAATAAATGCTGGCTAAAAAGTGGAAAATGCAAGAACTACCTACGGTGGAAGAATGGCAGATGAAGATGATGGAGTTTTCGGAGCTAGCTGACCTAACCGGAAGAGTCCGCGACCAGAAGAAGGAGGAGTATCAGGAAGAATGGACAAAATTTAATGATTATTTAGTTAAATATGTTAAGTTAATTGGAAACAGCTTGCAGATACTTGATTGGCTTAGGATTTTATATAAACTAAGTGATGAATTAATATGTTCAATCTCAAAATGAAAAGATTTAAGGATGTTAATGTTCAAGTTAAATTTATAAGAACTATGATTTGGAAAACCGTTAAAAGGATATGCATTGAAATTCAACCAAGGGGAAGCGAGGAAGTCACTTGACAATGTTAATAAGTGTAATATTAATAAGGTTATGATTTATGTTTGTTTATTTGTTTATAATTTTGTGAAAACCAATAAATTTTTTTGAAAAAAAAGAAAAGAAATGCTGAACATTAATGACATCCCTATACTGGGTTTTCAAATTCTCCTGCTCCCTGGTGTTTCTACATACGGAAAACTCTTTTGCCTTTTATGTTTGTTTGTTAGGGATCCCCTCTGCCGTTTACAAACAGCCACAGGTATCTTTGTCTCTGAGCAAGCAGGCCCTTTGCCCGGCTTAATCAGTGCTATGGAACTGGCTGGGACTTTGGCACAGGAAGAAGCAGGGAGCGTTGACCCTGCGCAGGCTCAGAGTTAGTGAGCCATCAAGTGATGTGGCAGGCGGACTTTGACAGCTGCCTTTGGGGACGAGAAGGACTGAGGCCGGCATTTAGAGCTGTAGCTGGTGGTCTCACTTTTAAACAGGTGTGGTGTGTCTGTGTGTTTGTGTGTGTGTGTAAACAAGCTCACGTGTTGGTGGGAATATTGTTGCTCACCCCAGGATTTATCCTGGAACATCCCATTGAAACTCGGTTTGCTCTGCCTAGAGGGTGGGTGTGAAACAAAAGCAAAAACAAATTGAGTCAGTACCATTTGTGCAGGGTCAGATGTTAGGACTTGCCGCAGATGGGTTGACAAAGATGAGTAGTGCAAAATATAGGGGGCATGGGTTACTTTTAAAAATGGGCCAGCAGGGGAAGAAATACCTTTTGTTCTTACAGAACATGGCATTTAAGATTTCTTCACAGGTGGTGTTTTGAATACAGGGATGTACTAGTTGAGGGAGCAACTAAGTGTTCAGTTCCGTTCTCACTTCAGTTATGAATTTATTAGTTGGTCGTATGCCAGCCACAGTTTTACAGGACTGCTGTAAGATGCTGAAATAGTGTATGTGAAGTTCTCTGAGGACTTAGAAAAAGTGCTTTGTAATTCTTGTTGTTAAATGTTGAGATCAGTCATGTTGAATGCTGTCCATTCAGTGTTCCTAGCCTGTCAGAACTCTGTGCCTAAAATGCCAACCTCTGAACAAACTCAGTGTTCAAAATAAAGCAAAGTAAAATACAACGTGTTTACACAGACCCATCTTTTGCACCAAGTCATACAATTTTAGTGCATTTATTTAGACACCTGGTATTGAACCTGTGACCAGCCCTGCCACTGAGCTTGTCAATGGGCTTCCTTGCTTTTTACACGGGAGCCCTTTGCAGGCTACTGCCCATGTGCTCTAATGTGTGTCTGCAGAGAACCATGAGACATGGAAACCTTGGGATATTTTAAAGACGGGCTGTTTTTGTTGTGTCCCCTCTCTTACATTTATGCTTATCTTTGCAGGAAGCCGAAGCAGGTTTGGTAAGGAAATCTGAACGAAAGCAGGCCCTGCAGAAAGTCCAAGATGGATCCTTGGGTCCCACCGCAGCAGGCCCAGCCACAAGGGAGACATGTTCCCCACATAGAAGGCTACGAGAGGGGCCCATGGAGGGCAGTTTCCCATGGCATTCCACCGCCTCAATCCAGGCACAGCAGTGAGTGGCTGTACCACCATGAACCCTGGGCTAGGCCTCAGCCTTGGCCAGATGCTCGAGTAGAATACCACCATGCTGCCCATCACCCAAGACTCCAGGACTATAGGAGGCCAAACTCCAGAGCAGAGTATTATGAAACTGGCTATCCCAACCGGTCATATTCAAGGTAAGACCTCTAAAGCCCTAAACGGCCTCGGCCCAGTATACCTGAAGGAGTGTCTCCACCCCCATTGTTCTGCCCGGACACTGAGGTCCAGCTCTGAGGGTCTTCTGGCGGTTCCCTTATTGCGAGAAGCAAAGCTATAGGGAACCAGGCAGAGGGCCTTCTCGGTGGTGGCACCTGCCCTGTGGAATGCCCTCCCACCAGATGTCAAAGAGAACAACAACTACCTGACTTTTAGAAGACATCTGAAGGCAGCCCTGTTCAGGGAAGTTTTTAATTTGTGATATTTTAATGTATTTTTAATCTTTGTTGGAGGCCGCCCAGAGTGGCTGGGGAAACCTGGCTAGATGGGCGGGATACAAATAATAAATTATTATTATTATTATTATTATTGGGGAAAAACAGACAGTTTTTAATGTGTGATATTTTAATGTATTTTTAATCTTTGTTGGAAGCTGCCCAGAGTGGCTGGGGAAAACCAGCCAGATGGGTGGGATACAAATAATAAATTATGATGATGATGATGATGATGATGATGATGAGTTGAGAAAGACAACACTCAGAAGGATTGGGGGACTTTGCAGAGAGATCAGCAGAGCTTCTTCTTCCATATAGTCTCCTAGCCCTTCTCTGTTTCGTACAGAGGGCCTCAAACATTCATTTATCACTTCAGTTCCAATGTTTGTTTGTTTTTTTATATTAATGCAGCTGTGTGGAACTCCAAATCAGAGCATTTAATCCAAGTAGTTCCAAAGGAGGAAGAGAGGGATAACTATCTCCTCATTTACAGGATCCCTCTAGTAGCTTTCTCTCTCTCTGTGTGTGGGAAATCTACTGGATCTGCAGATCTTTTCTGCTGGGGTGAAAGAAGGAGATTGTGTGTGGGATTTTTAGTTGGAAAATGCCAACTAAAGAATTACGCAGCCCCTTTCCTGCTGCACTACTCCAAACTAATTTGGAGCTCCCTATCACCTCAGCAACTAATTTTAAAAATCACTGAAAAAACAATGGCCTGATTCAGACATTGGATAACTATAGGCGTTTCCAGCATGGATGATGTAGGGGTTCACACTTGGGTCCCATCCAGCATCATTGGGTACACGTTTGGTACGCTTTAGACCTTTGAGTAATTAGCACAAAGGTTGCAGAGCATTTCCTCGCGTCTTTTGTTGAATGTGCTTAGTAATCTCCCTGTGACCAGGATCTCTTCTCTTAGGAGTGTTTCCAGTTGCATGTTCAACCAGATGCATCAGATATTCGAGCTAATTTGACAGAGGTCTAAAGAGGAGCCTATGCGTCTGAGGATGCTGAGGGGGGGTGAGGGGGGGCACTGTTCACGTTTAAGACCTCATGTGCTCAGGCCTTATGTTTTCCCGCTATATGAACAAGCTGTGATGAGTTTTGGCTGTTCTCTCCTCCCCTAATGCATCTGCAGAGAAGTTGGAAGCTTTCACTTCCAGGTTTACACAAACCACAGTTCTCAGTGATGTCCGAATTAGGAAACTGTTGTTTGCTTAGCCAACAACTACCAGACTTTTAGCAGATATCCGCAGGGACCCCTGTTTAGGGAAGCTTTTAATGTTTAACAGACTATTGTATTTTAATATTTTGTTGGAAGCCGCCCAGAGTGGCTGGGGAAACCCAGCCAGATGGGTGGGGTATAAATAAATTATTATTATTATTATTAGCCCTACAGAAGTTGCTGAACTACAGCCCCCATCATCCCTAATCACTGGCCATGCTGGTAGAAGTTGGAGTCCAACAAGATCTAGAGAGCACCATGTTGGCTAACCCTGATTTAAACTATTGTTCCAGAAAACACACAGGTCCTGAAATCACCGTTTGCTCCCAACTAGTTCTCACTAAACATAGTCTGAAACAAACCACAGTTCCCTTAATTTGGATGCTATGGGGAACCGTGGTTAGTTCAGAACTGAAATTGAAAGCTTGTGAAAGAAGATTATGCTTGCTGCAGCTTGTTTACATAGCAGAAACCATTATTTCCTGCTTTATCTGATTAGGGCCTCTGTATCTCCTATATCACATCTACTGTTGTAGTCACACTGCTTCTTTATCCTGTAACTTGCTCCTGCTCTCGTTCCTGATCTCATTTGCCTTGTCTCCTCTCACAATTCACCCTGGTGAATTATAGACAGGCTAGCTATTCATTGCATCGGTGAGGTAAAGTAAGTAGAACATCAAGGGATTTATTTGTGGTCTGTATTCATATTTTTCAATGATCAAATACAGAGCTGGAAGTGGGAGAGAAGGTCATTTCAATTACCAAGTGGTCATTATAGCTCATTTATTACCTTCCATAGCAGTTTTTGGAACTGTTTCTGACAGCATTTCCCTCCTGATTTTTTTATCCTCACAAATAACGAGGAATTTAGACAGTTACCCAAAGCAGCTTCCTCCATCTCCCTTTCTGCTCTCTCTCCTTTGGGCCACGCTTCAGGCAAGGTTATGAAGACCATCACCGGACCTTTGTGGAAGATTATGCGCATGGCGACTACCAGAGATACCCCCAAACCTGGCAGAGTGAGAGAGGTACTGCATTCTCCACAGAAACAAAACTGGTTTAAAAATACTTGATGGAACTGGGTTGAAGAGGAATTCTGGAATTCATTCTGGTGGTGTGTGCGTCTGTACATATTCAAAGCCTTCCTTACGCCATGCTTGTTCTCTGCCTCTGTCTCTCCTTCATGGCTCTGTGTTGTAAAAGGCTGTGTACACACCACACACTGAAACCACATTGAATCCCCATTATTTTCCCCAACCCAGAAAATAATTTGTGTGAACTGTGGTTTACCCCATTAACAAACTACTCTTCCTACGATTCTTTGGAGGAACTCACGTACTTTAGATGTGCTTTAAATGTACACAGCCCAACAATTCTCTGTGGTTAGATTTACCATTGTCTCATTTGCTGTGTTCAATGACCCTCCTCATTTGATAAATTCTGGATTTTTTTAAAAAAGAAAAAGAAAAAAAGAAGTCCATCTCAGCAAGAATGTGATTTTTTTGTCTCGAAGGCTCCAAATTCTCAGTACTTTTTCAGAACTAGTTCTGAGCCTAAATGTCACCCCATTTACAGGCCCTGGAAGTCCCAGATTTATTTATTTACTAATACATTTATACCTTGAGTTATGCAGGAATTTTAAGAAACCAAAAAATCAGTGCAGTTTTGAAATCGGTGGATAGAATCTAGAAGTTTTGAAAGGTTCAGCCTGTTATCTTGATTTAAAATGATGTCCAACACTATCCAAACATAGGCGAATATTCACTCCTTAACCTGAGGAACCACCATGCACAATTTGGATACAATATAGTAAGACAAGGGTTGCCAACCATTTTGGATTAGTGGGCACATTTCAAATTTTGAGAGAATGCTGGGGGTGCCAGTCACAAAATGACTGCCATGTAGTGGGCATGGCATAACACAAAATGGCTGCCACTGGGAGCATGGCATGACATAGAGTTAGAGAGACAGCTGCCCCTGGCAACCTTATACTTACCATGGGAAATGCTCTGCTGGTCCTGATTATGGAGATCTCTCTCTCAGAAAAAATAAATGTGGTAGCCAACACCACTCTCATTTCACAGAAATTGCTTAGAAAGTACCAGCACATTTTGCTGCATAACTTTCTTTCTAGGAGAGCTAGAGACTGGCCAGATGCAAGTGGAAGGCAGAACCAGAGGCTAAAGTGGGCGGGGCACGAGTGTGAATTTTACCTTTACACAGTAGGTTAGTTTCCACCCACACCCACCCTTCTCCATTCAGACAGGCAATCAAAAGCAGGATCAGAGTCCAAGGACATATTTTAATCTGGCAAAAAACACTCAAGGCAGGCGTATATAAAGGGTGGTGAGGGGACAGAGGGTATGGCTTAGGTGTGAACTTGGGCCAGATGGAGAGGGGAAGGCCATTTTGCCCCTGCCAGGTTTCAGTTGTACATAAAGGTAAAGGTAAAGGTACCCCTGCCCATATGGGCCAGTCTTGCCAGACTCTAGGGTTGTGCGCTCATCTCACTCTATAGGCAGACACTTCCGGGTCACGTGGCCAGCGTGACAAGCTGCATCTGGCGAGCCAGCGCAGCACACGGAACGCCGTTTACCTTCCCGCTGGTAAGCGGTCCCTATTTATCTACTTGCACCCGGGGGTGCTTTTGAACTGCTAGGTTGGCAGGCGCTGGGACCGAACGACGGGAGCGCACCCCGCCGCGGGGATTCGAACCGCCGACCATGCGATCGGCAAGTCCTAGGCGCTGAGGTTTTACCCACAGTGCCACCCGCGTCCCTTCAGTCGTACATAGACCTTTCTTAATCTAAAGGTAGATTTTGAGTGAGCCTTTGACTGAGCCTAACAAATTATAAATGTTCCTCCGAGCATTTGTGAGTTGATAATCCTGGCGCCTGGGGTGTAGCTGACTGTTCTACTGTGGATTCTGGCACTTTTTCATATGGTTTTATTGGAATTGTTTTGTATTATTGTGAACAGACCTTGGATCATTGATGAGGGGCAATATAGAAATTTTAAGAATGAACAAACATTTGTAAGTTCCGGTGTGCAAGTATGTGCACACATGTTGCCTATGTTTGTGCATTCACATGTGTAAAAAACCCTCTGGTGTACATGACTTTTAATGGCCTCCTGTAATCAGATGTGCATTGTTTCTAAACATAGCCCCTTTGACAACAAAAGGCAATCGTATCTGGTGTCTCCAAGGTAGCTTTATCAGTTTTTAAATGTTGCAGATGCCTGGAGGTAGAGCTGCTCCTTTTTATTTTCTCTGAGTATGTAGATCCAAGACAGAGAGATACCTGGGGCGAAGGTACAAATTACTGGGACCAGAACTATTACAGAGATCAACATCGGGTAGAAAGCAGCGGCTTTGCAGAGCATCACAATGGGACTCCAGTTTGGTAAGGAAATCCCATGAGCTGACCCACCCAACTGGGAAATGACTAAGATCTCTTTAATCCAGTGTCTGTGAAGGACACTTGGTGACTCTCTGCTCTTGCAGTGTGCCTCAGGGAAGCACGTTTCCCCACAGGAGGCTCCTGAGACCTTTGCCAGGTGAATATAGTCCCGGGATGCGCACTCTGCAGGCCAGTGTGGTGTAGTGGTTAAGAGCAGTGGACTCGTAATCTGGTGAACCGGGTTTGATTCCCCGCTCCTCCACATGCAGCTGCTGGGTAACCTTGGGCTGGTCACACGTCTCTGAAGTCTCTCAGCCTCACTCACCTCACAGAGTGTTTGTTGTGGGGGAGGAAGGGAAAGGAGATTGTTAGCTGCTTTGAGACTCCTTAGGGTAGTGATAAAACGGGATATCAAATCCAAACTCTTCTTCTTCTTCTTCTTCTTCTTCTTCTTCTTCTTCTTCTTCTTCTTCGTAGGTCCTGGAGAACTAGATATGTTGCCCTGTTATTTGCAGCAAATCTGAAATCCAACCACTGCAAACATTTCAATAAAGAAAAGTTAAGAGGTCATCTTTAATAGATCCGTTTTTGTTTTTCACTCAGAGTAAGACCCTGGATCCCAAACAGCCTCAAAATATGCGCAAATGTGCCCTTAATGCATAACCATGCTGTCCTGTGGGGAGATGCATGAGCTCTCTGTGAGAGTGCAGCCAACAGATTTGTAAACAAAATCTCTCTCTCCCCCCCCCTTTTGCTACCCTTCTTCAATAAGGTCTAAGAGGCATGAGTCCTACGAAGACAATTACGTTTCAAAGAAAGATGGCTCCTATGATATAAATTACAGTTATCCTTTGCAACAAGGACAGATTCAGGATGAATTCCAGTGGAAGTTCCAGGAGAACACCAGTGTTCCAGCGCATGAGGTGCGAGCTTTGGGGCTTGTCCAGGGTATCCTTTCTTCTTCCCTCATCCCAGCTGGTGCTACTTGGATAGGCCTGAGAGCCTTAGAAAGCAAATGCCAGCTTTAAAGTTCTTTGTAAAGGGTGTTGCAGTTCATTTTCCCTTTGCTTTCGTCAAGACCATCGTTCCTTCTATTCCGCCTCTTCCCCGCTCCTTTTCTCCATTGTAGGTTCCATTGCCTGAGGAACCAAGCATGCTCCAAAAGTATAAGGAATCGGGCCTCAGCTCAAGTAGCTATGAGCTTAGCCAGTACATGTTCGATCCCTCCAGCCACTACGAAGCAGCTCCCTCCAAGGACTGGAGCCCCATTCAGGCAGGTAAGGTATTCCAACACCAGGAACATCTGGTGTACAGGTGACCAAGGCATTTGCCAACACCTTGAGGCTAGCATCAGGGCTACCACTGTGCATTCTTTCTTTGCGTGGATTTTTTTCATCCCTCCAATCTGACCCCCTATATAGGTTTTTAATCTGGTGTTGTTAATTGTGCATGTTCAGCCCTTTTCTTTTCAACATTTGCATTGTAAGACACCTTGTGAGGGCTTGCCCCAAAAGGCAGGGTGGAAATACCTTAAATAAATGATGCTATTTGTCTAAACATGGGAGTGTTCCCATCACCTAAAAGAGGGGTGAGGTTCGAGTTTTAAAAGCAGAAGGATGGTGCAGGAGCAGATTTGGACAGAACCCTCCATTTGCCCGTAAATTACCTCCAAGTTCTTTTCTAACTGGTGTCAGAGCTCAGCTGAAGACAAAAACTATGATGGAGAAAAGCTGTGGGAAGGTTTGGCAGGAGTAGTGATCTGTACTTCTCATCCATGTACCCTTTTTGCTTGTGAAATCACATCCTCCTTTGAGACTGAGTCAGTTCTTTGTTTAGACACATTGAACGACAGGCATCCTTCTAGTCTGGGACTCAGAGTCTGGCAGGAGGCATGTCAAACAAAGGTTTACTTCAGTCACTTACGGGATGGCCCCCATCTTTGTGTGGTGGGGGTCATGGCTGTGCATCTTCCCCCTTCCCTGCGGATCTAAAACAGAGATCCCCAAACTAAGGCCCGTGGGCCAGATAAGGCCCCGAGGGACTCGTTTATCCGGCCTGCGGCAACCCCCGCCGCCCACTGCCACCGCCTGCTCTTACTGGTGCTGCGCCGCTACCCACTTCCGGGTAGGAGGAGCACCGGAAATAGCTTGTGCACATGCGCAAGTGTTATTTGTGCATGCACATGCGCAAGCGTTATTTCCAGTGCACATCCAGGTCAAAGGAGGCCCATGCACATGTGCACAAGCTATTTCTAGTGCTCCTCTGACCCGGAAGTGTATCGGAAATAGCGTGTGCGCACGCATATGGGCATGCGCTTCCCCGCCCTCCGGCCCACCATGTGATCGGCGCTGGAGACACCGGCCCGAGGCACAGTAAGTTTGCTGACCCATGATCTAAAACAAGGAAGGTATAACCTGTAGCCATCCAGATGTGGTTGGAGCACAACTCACAACATCACTGATCATCGAACGCACTGGCTTGGCATGGATGGAAGTTGTAGGAGTCCAACAAGATCTGGAGAGTGCCAGATTCCACAGCCCTGATCTACAATAATGTGTGATGCAGGGGCCACACTTGCCTGTAAAGCTCCCACCTTCCCAATGCAAAGACTGCAGCTGCCCAACATGTGTCTCAACTTGGCCAAACTCTTTTTGTGTTACCCCATCAGCTTAGAATCATAGAATCATAGAATCATAGAGTTGGAAGAGACCACAAGGGCCATCGAGTCCAACCCCCTGCCAAGCTTCCTCTCTGTCTTTTCTGCTTTCTATTGTTGAGTTGAGTTGAGTTCTGTTCCCTTCACTGTCACCCCCTATGACAAGGCAGTTATTCTTCCTGCCTTCTTTCAGATTTACAGTTCACTGAGCAGCTTATTTGATGTGCGTTTTAGCCAGCTTGCTTTCTTGTCAGTCTGGGATCAGCCTCTGGCCTAAGCCAATGACAAGTCACTAACGGTCCTGGTCTTGTCATTTAGCAGAAGACCTGCCAGTTCCTCTTCACCCTGTGGCACCTCTGAAGTTTCGAGTCCCTCATGTACCTATGTGCTTTGGAGCTGGGGGGCAGCTGGTCCTAGGATGTCCTAATCACCCAGCAGATGGGCAACCTGCTGTTGTCAAAATGCACAGCCTGGAGGTAAACATTAACTTGCCCCTTGGAAGTGAGATGATTGTTGCAAATCTGCCCTCCGTTGCTTTGACAGTTCTTTCTCCTGAGTCTTGACTTCACTCTTTCATTCCTGCCTCACCTCTCTCGTCGTTTTATTTTGCTGTCAGTCAGCTATGAGCCTTGTTTTAACAACTCCTTTATCTGTGGATTTGGGAGTGTCTTCTTTGTGCTGGTGCCTCCCAACATCAGCCTGTCCCCTGGTGTTTGCTTAAAGCGTCTTCTAAACACCCTCTGATTTCCAGCTGTTTGGCAGAAATCCATTTCAAGGTTCATCACAATCAGTAGAAACATTCTTTTTAAAAGGAAGAAAGCAGAGATTCTGCAGGCAGCTGGAAGAATTCATATTGCAGACCCTATTCTGTGATCCCCTTGCCATGGGGATTCCTATGAAATAGCTACTCTAGTTATTAAGGGGTCACAAATATCATTGTTCAAATCTCTCCACCATAAATTTACTAGGTTGCCCCAGATAAGCCATTACCTTTCAGCTTCAGCTGATTTACTGAATAATATTGTTAGGGCTTGTCTACAGAGACATTTTCTATGTGTTTGTAACTGTTTTTATTTGCATAGCCCACATCCCTCGATGACACCAGTCTCCATGCTTTGCCCCTGTATATGTGGGCTTACCTGAAATGGGGGTAATTTGATAAATTGGGGAAACTGGGCTCCAAACAACTCCCTCGGGATTGCAGATTATTTGTTTTGGTGTTTTGGGGCAGTTGTCAGTTGTCACTTTCTGCTACTCCTCTCTTCAGCCCTCCTACAACCTTCTTTCATTTCTTATAATAATAATAATAATTTATTATTTATACCCCACCCATCTGGCTGGGTTTCCCCAGCCATTCTGGGCAGCTTCCAACAAAGTATTAAAATACAGGCTGTGTTTGTAACTATTTCCTGTGTGCTTCTGAATGGAAGAATATATATATTTCCTTTTAATCCCTCAGATTAGCACGAACCCAGAAAACTGCACAAGTCAATGGCAGCTTGCTTGTGCACACACACACACACACACACACTCCTGATCCCTCAGATATGCATAAAACCAGAAAGCTGAATTTGCAGTTGCCTGATTGTGTGCCATAGGAAGAGAGACAAGGGCAGGAAGATGTTCAAAGAGCTTATGCAACCCTAGATGCCTAAAACAAGCACAACATAGCATACTTTCTACAACCACTTTAGCTACAGTGAGTGCAGACAATTATCCGAATCCCACTCACTGACTCTTTCCTTGTTTTCCAGGTGATCCTACATGATACAGCTGAGCAGGAAGAATTGAGAGCCTTCCCAGGACCTCTAATCAGGTACATGACCTCTGAAAGAGTACAACTTAAGTTTTCATTCTCCACCATAGCCCTGAGGCAGCCCTACTCTGAAGCAAGCTGAGACGTCCCAGGCAACAGGCTCTGGATGTTATTGATGGGCAGCAAAGTGGGAGTCAGGGGATCTGACTCATGGGGCGCTGTGTACCAGGGTGTTCAGCTGTGCAAGCCCCACTGAAATGAATAGGAGCACACAACTCCTCCTTTGCGGCTCTTCTTTGTTTTCTTGTGACAGAAAAACTGCCCAGTGAATTGTGTTCTTTGTCAATCAGAGGAAGGGTGCTGGTTGGATTTTCTGTTTCAGGCACTAGAGTAGCCTGAAGAAAGTGTTTCATTTCTGCCATTTGGGCTGCAGGAGGCTATTTTAACATGTTGTACTGGTCACAGTGTTCTAATGATATGGGATTAGAATAAAAAGTTGAGGGTGAGGGAAGGTGGAAATAAAAGTTCTCCGCCTCCCCCAAGTAGTTGTCATGGTGAATGCTCTCTTAAACTGTCGTTATTATTTGATTCTCCTCACACCAGCACCTGGGCAAAAGCCAGAGGGTTTGCTTATGCATTCAAATTATTGCATTGATTGCTGAGTTGTTGAGAAGGGTGCTCAGTCACTGGTTTCAGGACAGATTCAGTCACGTAGCTACACATTCAGGTTGCACAGTTATAGTTGATTGGGAGGTCTTGCGCAGTAAGCCAACTTCCTTGCAGAATTGGACTTTTGCAGTAAGGAAAGTGACGGGGGAAACGCCCCGGAGAGTTGTGGGATGATACTTGCTTCAGCAAGAGTGTGTGAGTGCATTCAGTTTGGAGGGGTCACGTCGAAGCCTTTGGAAATGTTATATAGCAGGAATGGGGAATCTTGCCCTCCGCAGCCCTCCAAACCTCCAAACCTACCCAGTCCTCGAGATCTGGGCCACCTATGGGTCTGAAAGTCCTTGCTCCCCTTTCTGCTCTTCCAGGGAGGATCTGCACAAGGTGGACGTGATGACGTTTTGTCAGCGCAGAGCAGCTGTGGCCTGTGACCTGGACTCCAGCCGAAGCAGAGATTCTGCCCTGCTTTGGAAACTCCTCCTCCTCCTTTGCCGGCAGAACGGGGTGTGTATCTCCTACGGGGGCGAATCTTTGCAGAGATAAGTTAGAGAGCCTGGCTAGCATACCCCTTTGTGGTCCAAGTTTTCACCAACTTCCTCTGCTTAGACTTCACCTTTATCCCTCCCCAATCACTTTTGCAACTGATATCTCATGTCTTTTTTGGTGTTGTAGTCTGTACGTGCCGTGTGGACCCAGACCTCTGGGAAGTGAGTGCAGGTTTCCATTGATTTTGGGAGGATTTCTCAATGTCTGGTGTCCTTACGTTACCCTTATTTCCCCCAAAACCCTAGAAGAAAGGGCATGGTATTTGTTCTTTCTTCTCAAGTGTTCAGCTTTGAGGTCTGGGTATAATACCAGGCAGACCTTTTGGCCTTTTCCAGTAAAACCTGAAATAAATTTGAATCATGTGCAGCATGAACTTGAAACTGTCGATCCTACGTTTTATATTCAAAATGTCAGAAGTGTTAAAATGTCACCTTTATTTCCATTTTTTAAGGAGAGGGTTTGACATAATTGGCACCATGCAATATGCATGTCTATTTAACAATCTATCCTGTTTTTCAACGGTCAAGACCCATAAAACGTTATGCAAATAAATAATAAATTAAAGATGCAAGCTGTTAAGAAAAGAACGCATAGCAATTTGAGAATTTGTGTAGTGTCAGTACGCAAGTTTCAGGAGTTTGAGCTGTTTGTTGTCCAACTAGGTAAATTTGTAAAATTTGCAATGTTTGCAATTACGTCTGAATCCTGTAGCCGCTGTGCTTTCTCCTCGTCCCTTTGCAGTCCATGGTGGGCTCAGATACAGCTGAGCTGCTGATGCAGGACATCCGGCGCCGGGAAAGGTACAAAAGGCAAGAGCCAGCAGCCAACTTGATCAACCTGACGGATGAGGAGTGGCCAGTGCAGGGCGGTGGGACTCCAGATCTTCTCACGGGGGAGATTGTCCCAAGTGCCGCCACACCAGAGCAAAGAGTGGAGAAGTTCACCAAACTCCTTTTTTACGGCAGGAAAAAAGTAAGCTGAAAGCTTATGTCTTCTGTGGCAAGTTTTGTGGGTTTAATGCACAGAAAGAGGCCTGGGTCGCACACATACACATATCCCAGTTGTATCAAATGATTTCTCCTGTGTCTGAGCCATCACAAATTAATCACTGCAGTACAGAAGCCACTTCTGCTACAGCAACGTTCACACCAGCAAAAATCAGTGCATGCCTGTTACTTTTCAGTGGTGGCCTCCCTTACAGGGTTGCTTGTAAGTAGCATTGAAAAGCAAAGCACTATGTAAAAACTGTTAACTTTGGTTGTGCTTTGAGTACAGAATGCCCCAGGTTCTCTTCTTGGCACCTTGTACAAAGGATTTGAGGTAGCAGAGCTTGGAAAGACCTTTGCTTGTGACCTCGGCCAGCCACTGGCAGTCAAGGCAGACAATCCAATGGTCTGATGCCCAACGGCATCTTCATAATTTGTTAGTTTTGTAAATAACTCTCTTGTTAAATTTTAAGAAGCACTTAGGTTTTCACATCTGTAAAAGAGCACCTGTTTAAAATTGTGCAATACAGAAATAATAAAGCAAAAAGTTATTAAATAGAGGAAAAAAACAAAGGGCACTGGTGAAAGCACATTATACAGTTCTTATAACGAGAAGATTAAAGCATTGTATGTTGAATAGACATATTGGTGTACATAGGAAATAGAAACAGAGGGGAGGGGGCAGGGTTGTCAAATATATTTTATTGAATAATCCATAGTCTTTTGGGTGCTGGATGTGGATTTAAGTTGTGTTATTAACATACGTATGTATTAACATACATAATAAAATTGTACCACATCACAAATAATTTCTGTTTTGCTTTGCCCTCTTGCCACTCTTAATTGGTGTGTAAGATTTTCCAGTAAGGCTGTCTCCCACACTTTGTTGAAGCATGATAAAAGGTTAGCCCCAACTAAGTCTTTCCAGTGTCTGGTGATAACAGGCCTGGCTGCTTTTAGCAGATGTGACACGAGCTCTCTACAATGAGAAGGTACATCTCCATTTTCAAATAAACTTATAAGTGCCACCTGGAGAGAAAGGGTAAATGTATACCTGTCCCTTGAAAAATTTAAATCCAGAATGGTGGTATTTTGGCACAGGGCCACCACAAATGCATGTGGGTACCTGTTCATTGGCATTCACGTTAGCATCTTGGCAATGTACTGTATGCCAGCTTCATAATTTCATATGAAGGAGTGGACATAGAGCATTCCAGTTTCTTCCCAGTGCTTCTCTTGGACTTTCTGTCCATCATTGATGTCCCTGCCTCAGGTCGACCAATGTCTTGTCTGTGGAACTCAATGGTGGCCTCTGACCACTAAGCCAGCCCTTCTCTGCACAGTCCCTTCTACTGGCTTCTGTTTCTTAGCAATGCTGGAGTGTGGCAGAATACAGGGGAGTTTGATGGAATGTCGAGAGCTGGCTGTTTATTGGTTCTTGCAGGAAGCTCTGGATTGGGCCATGAGGAACCATCTGTGGGGCCACGCTCTCTTTCTATCAAGCAAGATGGACCCGAGGACCTATAGCTGGGTCGTGAGTGGGTATGTAGCACCCACTACCACAAAATCTCTCAGTGCACTTTTCTCAGGATTTCAGCAGGGCCGGCCCTAACATTAGGCAGAATGAGGCAGCAAACGCTGGTGTGTGCAGAAAACTGTTGGGTCACGTTGGAGGACAGAGCTTTGTGTGCAATGAGGCCTGCACTCTGCTTCTTGTAAGCTAGCTGTTGTCCTCGGGTGTGGTGGAAAAGCAATGCAAAAGTTCAACTGTCAGTCAACTTCTGTGTGTGTGTGTGTGCGCGCATGTGCATGTATGAATGAGGGCACCACCTTGTCCGTCAATTTAGGCAACAGAATGTCTTAGACCAGCCAAGCGTTTCATCGCTTGCCAAGTCTATTAAAAATGCTTTCTTCCATCTCGTTGCAGGTTCACTAGCACTCTGGCCTTCAATGACCCCCTACAAACACTTTTCCAGCTCATGTCTGGAAGGATACCTCAGGCATCCCTGGTACTGATGTCAGCCACCTTTTCTGCCTAAGTTTCTTGTCTGCATCTAGGATCAGCCATCTGAACCTGTCAGGGCTGGTGGTCCAGGATACACAACCCCAGGGCAGTTTAGACTAAGGAGCCCAAGCCCCAGACAGCAGCTTGATAGGACCAGGTGGAAACCTCTTTGGCCCCTTGTCACCTGATCTTTGCTGAACTGGTAGCTAACTACCTACAATAGTAGCACTCTAGCAAAGCAGAGACCAGGACAGCAGTTCTGGGTGGCTTCCAAGGCGCTGTGTGTTGCTTGTTCCTGTTTGCTAGGGTCGCTGCTTTGAGACCCCCACCCCGGCACTCTGCAGAGCCCAGGGTCAGCTCTTGGTGAAGACCCACTCCATCCTTAAGGAGGTTTATTCTAGAGAAATTATTGGCCAGTCCCACCCCCACCGTCCATGTTCTCCTCTGCTTTGCCCCTCCTGCTGCCTCTCAAAAGCAAAGGCTGCCACCTGAAGGTGCTTTAATTCCATAGTTAGGCGCTGTTATTGTTTCCCGCATGCCATTCAGTTAAGTGTCCACAAGACTCTGCTGGCACAAAAGGCTGCTCTTACAGTGTATGAACACTAACCTCCCACCATTCACCCTTAGGAAACCTGCATTTTAGCTGTTTGGATAGATGGTATCTAGCTAATTTCCTAGATTCCATCCATCCATCCATCCATCCATCCATCCAAACAAACAGTTAAAATGCAGGTGTCCTAAGGGTGAATGGTGGCGAGTCTGAATGTGATGTTCTGTTATGCTGTGAAGAGAAGAGGGAGGGCATGGAAGAGCTCAATGGGCAAATTTAATTCACCTCATGTGCCAAAACCTGGCATTCATACAAGGGGGATTGTTTGCTTATTGTTTAGTTTGTGTCCTGGCCAAAGCTCTTGGAGCATTTAAGAATATCATTTATGCAAAACCAGATGCTGTTCTGTAGATCAGCCAATCAACAGCATCGAGGCGGAGCTACGGCCACCATTTCCCAGCTTCTTCCAGCCCAGGTTAGGAATCAGAATGGAGCAGGCTGGCATTTTCCAGGTGTAGGTCCCTGCAGCCGATTCCTGGGACTAGGCACTTGAGCAAGGACAAAGCAGCAGGCATTGCTTTGTTGACCAGGCAAGTGCTGAAGGGCAGGCTTTTCTGCGTGTTAGAAAAATCCTGACTAATGAAGCAGCTTTGTTTTGCCCGCCAGTCCTACGATCCGATGCTGCACTTGCAGCCCCCTTCTGTGCCTGAGGAGGGGTTCCACGCCTGCATGCACACAGTCTCATGGCCCAGCCCCAGAAGTTGCCAGTCCAAGCGCCCTGATCCAGATACGTCCGGTACAGCATTCTGCCTGTAGACACCGCCATCTTTCTTTCTGCTGGAACCAGTGGAAAGGAAAGCACAGCACAGTGTTGGCTGGGCTTTGTCTCTTCTCCCATGACAGGGCATGGTTCCACAAAAGCCCTGGGGGTTGAGACAGGGACAAACCGGGCAGGTAGGCCCACGAACCTTGCCCTAAGAGCCAGGATGCCCTGTCCCAAGGTGAAACCCTGATTCAGCTTTCTGTAGCTGCCGCTTGATTGCTAGGCACGGAGAGCGGCACAGCGTAATGTGAGGGATGACATTTTGCCATCCCTTCCTGGTTCTCTTGCTTAGGCATAGGTCCATGTGGAATAGGCAGTGGGGGCAAGCGGTTGGCTTTTGTTCTGGCAATGCCTCCTTTTTGCTCCATTGCTCCTGAGCCCCCGGGGGGTGGGCACTGTCATGCTCCACTGGCCGATTTGCCTTTGCTGCAGAGCAAGTTTCCTGGTTTCTGAAGCTGCTGCCCTAGGCAGGTTCTCCCACCTGTCTCATGGCAGGGCCTGTCCTGCAAAGGAAAGTTCCACAGCGGCACCAGATGCTGACGGCGTTGCACAAAGTCCTTCATCTGTTGGATGCTAGCATGGAGGCAGCAGCGTTGGTATATATGTTTATAGCTACAATATTCTCCTAAGGACAAAAGCCTTGGATTTGCTCCAGGACTCAAGCATTTCCTTTCTTTTCCATTCTCTGCTGTGAACTTGTGAACTGAAGCGAGGCAAATCTCCTGAAAGGCAATCTCATGTGGAAACATCTCTTCTGTTTCTTAAACGTTGAGCAAAGTTTAATGCATTTTAATGTTTCATGTATTTTGCGCCCTGATTCTTCCCTCCCTTTTCCCTCCCTCCCCTCTTCGAATGCAGTGCTGCGCCGATGAGAAATGGGGCGAATGGAGGCCACATCTGGCTGCTATCCTGTCCAACCGAGTGGGAGAGGCAGATCTGAACTCCAGAGCCATTGTCACCATGGGAGAGACGCTGGGTGAGGAGACCCACCAAGGACCCACAATTCCAGCTCCTGTTCTTAAGCCCCGAGAGCAGCGTGGCTGCTTCCCACACCGCTCCAGCTTCATAGGAACGGAGGAATCGTGAGGAAGGGGTGGGGCCCACTAGGGAAGAACCACAGGGACAGGGCCCAGGCCTAACTTTGGATACTAGCACCGTTCTTCCCATGGGATCCCACCTACCCCATGTTCTCCCTCCATTTATAATAATAATACTAATAATTTATTATTTGTACCCCGCCTATCTGGCTGGGCTTCCAACAAAGATTAAAAACACATTAAAATGTCACACATTAAAAACTTCCCTGAACAGGGCTGCCTTCAGATGTCTTCTAAATGTCAGGTAGTTGTTTATCTCTTTGACATCTGATGGGAGGGTGTTCCACAGGGCAGGTGCCACTACCGAGAAGGCCCTTTGCCTGGTTCCCTGTAACCTCACTTCTCTCAGTGAGGGAACCGCCAGAAGGCCCTCGGAGCTGGACCTCAGTGTCTGGGCAGAACTGTGGGGGTGGAGAGGCTCCTTCAGGTATACTGGACCGAGGCCGTTTCTCCCTCTATTGTTCATTTATATAAAATCTGGTACCTTTGTAGGGCTGGTGTGGCAATTAGTGTTACTGGAGAAATTTATTCAGCAAAACAGGCTATGCAGGCTCAATGATGAAAACCAACAACACTCGCTAGAAGGGTTATACCAGGAGACCCCTGGTCTCTCAGCTCCATTATTGGATTGATTGGAGACACTGACTCAGGACCGCTAAGGTCACCTTGGGCAATATTTAGCCACAGCCACATTGGGTCCTGCTTCCCACTGTGGATTTTGATGCTGACGTTCACCATGGAGTTTGCGAACTGGGTGTTGTGCTCGTGTTTTATCAGTGTTAGAGATGTAAGGGAGGGAAAACCCTTTTCAAAAACAAAACCCCGCATTCCCTGTGTTACAGCAGGGGTAGGCTGCAGTACTTACGGTATAATGCATATCGTAATGTCTTCTTAGGGGACATGGGTAGTGCTGTGGGTTAAACCACAGAGGCTAGGACTTGCTGATCAGAAGGTCGGCGGTTTGATTCCCTGCGATAGGGTGAGCTCCCGTTGCTCGGTCCCTGCTCCTGCCAACCTAGCAGTTCGAAAGCACGTCAAAGTGCAAGTAGATAAATAGGTACCGCTCTGGCGGGAAGGTAAACAGCGTTTCCGTGTGCTGCTCTGGTTCGCCAGAAGCGGCTTAGTCATGCTGGCCACATGACCCGGAAGCTGTCTGTGGACAAACGCCAGCTACCTCGGCCAATAAAGCAAGATGAGCGCCACAACCCCACAGTTGTTCGCAACTGAACCTAACGGTCAGGGGTCCCTTTACCTTTACCTTTTAATCTCTTCTTATCCTTCCATGATGCAATATGCTCCTCTTTTTACCTATCCAGCTGGAAAAGGATTAACAGAAGCTGCTCACCTCTGCTACCTAGTGGCAGACGTCCCCTTTGGCCACTACGGAGTCAAAACAGACCGCATGGTGTTGCTGGGCAGTAGCCAGAGGTGAGTGAGAACGGAAAGGTCCAACTTAATTAGCAGCGCTTGGCGTTTCTGTAGCTCACTTCAAGCATTCAAAATGGCACATTAGCTCAGCATTACAATGCTGCTTTGAAGCCAGCCAAGTTTCCTCCTCTGTTGCAGGCCAGGGGTTCAAAAACGGGAGAGCAGGTGTGTCCTTAAGCCCTTCCAGCGAGGGCATGGCTGTGAGATGAGACTGGCTTAGGGCAAGAGGTGCAGACTGTCGAGGCAGAAGGACTTTGCTTGGCCTGCTCTTGCGCCTTTGCCTTGTGCCCCTTGATGTGCAATGTCATGTTGGGTACTGTATATGGTGAACTGCTGCTTGCGGAGGCATCATCCGCTATCCTCTTTTGCCAGGCTAACTGATTTTTACTGCATGGTGGCAACTGATATGATAATACAGTGGTACCTCTGGTTGCGAACGGGATCCGTTCCGGAGTCCCGCTCGCAACATGAAAAGCCCGCAACCTGAAGCGCCGTATCTGCGCAGGTTTGTGGTGCGATTTGGCGCTTGTGCGCATGTACGAAGCATGATTTAGCGCTTCTGCGCATGCGCGAGCGATGAAACCCAGAAGTAATGCTTTCCGGTACTTCCGGGTCGCCGCAGGACGCAACCTGAAAAAAGGTAACATGAAGCAAACGTAACATGAGGTATGACTGTAGAAGGGATGTAGGAACTGGCTCTAGCAATCCTTTTTTTAAAAAAGAAAAGAAAAAAGAAAAGAAAAAAAGAAGAAAGAAAAGAAGAAAGAAAAGAAAAGAAATCTTTCTGATAGGGTTGAGCGGGAGGGCTAGGGCTATGCATGTATAATTACAGCACTATGCCTGTGCAAACCTACACCTATTCATTATTTTCCAAGTTCCTGCCCCAAGGCCTAATGTGACATTTCCATCGATAGCCAGATATATGGGCTTGACATGCATTGTGGAAATACCAGCTGTGGGCGTGGAGTGTAATGCCACAACCTGGCCACACGAGGTCACTGTAGCTCTAAACTAATCTTAAGTTACGGGATGAACTAAAGCTCACTTTGCCCGCTGTGCAGTATTTAGGAGTCTTGGATGGGAAACTAGATTTATGGAATTTAGCTTCTTCTGAAGCTGAGAGATGGCACTTCAGTATCCAACCAGCAGATATTGAGATGCCGGTGGTCTCCTTGCCAGCAACATTCCACAGCTGGACCAAAGTTACTCTTGCAGGAGTCAGAGTAGAACCAAAACGAAATTTTGCAATAGGCTTAAATTCAGTTCCACCCCCTCGCTGAATCTGAACTCAACATTTGGCAATTTAACCTTCATTGCTATTGTGTGCCCTGTTTCTGATATTGTGAAACTGGTGTATGCACGATAGGGCTGACATTATTGCACGTCACCTGTCAAATCTTGTATTTGTTGAGTGAGACACATAAGTCACAGACCAGTCCTGGCTTCTGCCACATGCCAGCTGCCACTCTGCAATCCTATGATTCTCTGTACACGTGCTTCCACGACCAGTGAGACAGACAGAGGTTTGGGTTTTCTGCGTCTTCTAAAGTGCCCCAAGAAGTCAGCTTCTTGTAAGGTGAGACATGCCGGCTGCAAACGATTTAGTCATTCACCTTAAGAGGCTCCGCTAAGGTTAAAAATCCAATTTAAAGAGCCAACAGTTCCACTTATGCTAATGGTGCTCTGGCTAGATAAAAAGGAAAGGATTTTAACGATTCATTTCACCTTTAAACCATTCGCTCCTTATTAGAATTACAGGTCTAAACAAGCCTTGCGTCTTCAAGCAACACATGTAACTGACAACTGTGGTGCTGTTGAATGTAGCTCCTTTGGAGTCAGGGCATTTGGTGGTGGTGGGGAGGGACACAACAGTTCTCTAAAAGGAAATCTAATCGGACTTTCTGCCACCTCAAAGCTGAGCCTCAACTTCTGTTGCCAGAGGGGATCCAGCAGCCGCCCAGCTGTTGTGGCACTCCCCACCTCCCATGCTGTGCTTTGTACTGGGATTAACTGGTTCAGCTACCTATGGCAACCCTTGGCTTGTAGGTTAGCTGCTTAGCATGGGAAATACATAACTTGGATGGAAAAGTTTCTAGTTGTAGTTTAACTAACTAGTCTGGAGCAGAACAAGGCAGCCGCACTTGCTTGGGGTATAAATAATAAATTATTATTTTTGCATTCTCTCAGAGAGTAGCTCCAAGCTGACCTCTCAGCTCGAGGTCTGAGAGAGAAGTATGAGGAGAGAAATAATCTTGGTGTATATTTCAAACCCACACAAACAAACGTCAGTTAGCGCCACCACATTTGAAGTAGAAATATATATATAAAATATAAAAATATTGCCCAGTGGCACCTTAGAGACCAACTAAGTTTGTTCTTGGTATGAGCTTTCGTGTGCATGCACACTTGTTCAGATACACTGAAAGTGTGCAAGAAAGAACAAACTTAGTTGGTCTCTAAAGTGTCACTGGACATTTTTTTTATTTTTATTTTTTATATTTCTACTGCGTCAGACCAGAGCCTGGCATGCTCGGGTCCATGGGGTCACGATGAGTTGGACACGACTAAATGACTAAACAACAACAACTGCGTCAGACCAACATGGCTACCTACCTGAATCTAGAACATTTGAAGTAGAACCATGGAGACTGTTGGACAAATGTCTCATGACTGCTGTGCAGTAAATGTGTTCTTAGTTGGAAAGGTTAGGATACAGCTCAGCTTGTATTAAGGCGAATGAAGTTTGTAGAGAGGGGGAAATGTAGAGAGGGGGACCTCCAGACGTCCTAGACTGCCGTGTTGCGCTTCCTTCTGGTGTTAAACTGATGCCACGCAGAGTTGCTGCTCTCCTTTCCTGTTCTTCCTCCTTTCTTATCTGACCCACCATGGGAGAGGAGGCATTTTGTGTGTCTCTGCTGAGATCAGCGAGCCTCTTTCTTGCCTTTCCAACATAGTTAAATAAAACTAGGAGCTCTTTACCATCAAACACATATTTGCTATGATAAACTTAGCTTTCTTATTTTCCATACTAAAGGCCTCCGTGTAATTGCTTCCAAGGTAAGCGTGTTCCTCCAAGGGATTTCAGTGCAAAGTTCAGACTTTCACCGACGCATATAAACTCTGAATGCTATCAGTGATGGGGAGCTCAAAGGGAGAAAACAAGGTTCTTTATTATCCCAGCCTTCCCTCTCCCTTGGTCTTCATTCCTTTTTTTCTCCAAGCAAGCTCTATTGTAGCAGAGAAGCCAAGTCTGGCTTGGTTCAGCAGGCACTGAAGGGAGGAAGGAAGGGAGGAAGGAAGGATGGATTTAACCAGCATGGCATTGGAGATTTTGAATTCTGGTGCTGGAGGAGACTCTTGAGAGTCCCATGGACTGCAAGAAGATCAAACCAATCCATTCTTAAGGAAATCAGCCCTGAGTGCTCATTGGAAGGACAGATCGTGAAGCTGAGGCTCCAATACTTTGGCCACCTCATGAGAAGAGAAGACTCCCTGGAAAAGACCCTGATTGAGGGCACAAGGAGAAGGGGACGGCAGAGGACGAGATGGTTGGACAGTGTTCTCAAAGCTACCAGCATGAGTTTGACCAAACTGCGGGAGGCAGTGGAAGACAGGAGTGCCTGGCGTGCTCTGGTCCATGGAGTCACGAAGAGTCGGACACGTCTAAACGACTAAACAACAACAACAACAAGCACGAGAAGGGAAAGCCAATGTTTAATTTATTGAAAGCATTCAGATACTGCCCTAAATTATCTTTGACTCCAGGATGGCTTACACAGTTCAAAATTTGAAAGAATACACCTCTAGCTGCAACACACCTTCTTTAGCTAAGTGAGGAAGAATGAAACAAACCGCAACAGGTTCAGCAACAAAACTGCCAGGACATTTGCAAAGCTAAGCATGCTATGGGTACGGGTTCAAACTGGATGAGGGACTGCATCATGTTGAGATTCTTGCATTGCAGGGGATGGACTAGATAACCCTCGGGATCCCTTCTAATTCTACAGTTCTACGATTCTATGGGGATGCGGGTGGTGCTGTGGGTTAAACCACAGAGCCTAGGACTTGCTGATCAGAAGGTTGGCGGTTCGAATCCCCGCGAAGGGGGGGGGGTTCCCGTTGCTCGGTCCCTGCTCCTGCCAACCTAGCAGTTTGAAAGCATGTCAAAGTGCAAGTAGATAAATAGGTACCGCTCTGGCGGGAAGGTAAACGGCGTTTCCGTGTGCTGCTCTGGTTCGCCAGAAGCGGCTTAGTCATGCTGGCCACGTGACCCGGAAGCTGTACGCCGGCTCCCTCTGCCAATAAAGCGAGATGAGCGCCGCAACCCCAGAGTCGTCCGCAACTGGACCTAATGGTCAGGGGTCCCTTTACCTTTACGTTACGATTCTATGATACCATGAGGAGTGGGAGACTTCTTTCCAGGCATCTGACTTGAAGCATTAAACCCCCCCACCCCCAGCCTGCTTGGTATTTTGCACAACAACAGAAAGAAGCAGCCAGTTTTAGCTGAGTGGTGTGGTGCCTTAAGACAGTGAAACCTCTTAGCTTAGAATTAGAAATAGGAAATGCCCGTTTGCTTAGAGAAGGAAGAAAGTGGCAAGGACTCTGGTCTCTGCTAACTCTGCATTTACTACGGCTAGGTGGTTTTTAAAATTGGTTTAATTAATAGATTTGTCAACCAGTGCTTTAGTTGATGGACTGATGATGAGGTTCTCAAATTGTTGTTGTTGTTGTTATAATATTTTATCCCATCTGGCTGGGCCTCTCCAGGCATTCTGGGAGACTCCCAACAAAATATTAAAAACACAATAAACCGTGAAACATTAAAAACTTCCCTAAACAGGGGTGCCTTCAGATGTTTCCTAAAAGTCAGGTAGTTGTTTATTTCCTTGACATCTGATGGGAGGACGTTCCACAGGGCGGGGCTACCACCGAGAAGGCCCCCTGCCTGGAATGTGCTTGTGGACTCTATTTCATACAACAAATCCTAACACGGATAAAATAAACAAAATAGCAAGTAAGCAAAATTGAAGAGTTAATAATTTAAGAGAGAGATAAAACGTCTATGTAGATCCAGCAGGTAAGAATGACTGATGTATTTTATAGGCTGTCGTGCAAAATTTTGCGACTAATGCTGTAATCTCTGGTCTTCCATCTTCTAGAAGCAAACTGGACAATTCCAATCTAGATCATCTGGGCATTCTTCAAAGCAAGGGGGCAATAATCGTTATACTAGCATCTTGGTAGTAGGGGTGGCATAAAAGGACATGGTCTGTGGTCTATAGGAGAAGCCGTACCTTCTGCTTCGTCTTCTTCTGAACCAGGGAACAGAAAAGTAAACACACATTCTCTGAGTTGTGCAGACAAACTCCAATTAGCAAGGGCAAACTGGTGGGACTATAAGCCACAGAAACGTTTGTTTATTTTTAAAGGCTTTTTTATAAAGCTATTTTGGTTCTTGCGTCTTACTTTAGTAAGGAATGTAATGGAGGGTGGGTGGGAATTAAAAATGGTATTTCATTCTAGCAATGGCAACTAGCTTTGGTTTATTAAGTGTAGGTTGTGTGACATTTCCTTTCACTTATCCGAAGGGCTGATCTACTGAAGTCTCTGTAATTTGCAGATTTGTTTAAGCCTAACTGATTAACCAGTTAATGGGTGGGTGAGTAATGAACTGAAATGAATTCAGTGGCTGCTGCCAGCTCCAGGCGTTGGAAGAAAGGCTTGCAGTTCAGCCCTTTCAACGACTCCTGTTGGGTTCAGTGTGTTAGGAATGGGGGCATGTGATGAAAAGCTCTGCTGGACCAGAGGTTGGGTGATGCAGTGCCTCAGAAATCCACCAGAGTGCTCAGCTTTAGCCTCCTTCTGATTGGCTGCAGGTACCACTAGCCAGAAAGGGATGCGGGTGGTGCTATGGGTTAAACCACCGAGCCTAGGGCTTGCCGACCAGAAGGTTGGCGGTTCGAATCCCCGCTACGGGGTGAGCTCCCGTTGCTCGGTCCCGGCTCCCTTTTCTTGTTTTAACTTCCCTAAGTCTCCAAGTACTACAGTCCTCCCCTGTTAAATAACCAAATTTTAGCCAGTAGTTACTCAGAAATGAGTCCTGTTGGATTTAATGAGTTAGGGATGGGTGGAGAAATCCATTTTGGTTCTCGTTTAAAGACAAAATCTGCCTAGATTTGCGCTTTTCAAAACTGAAACACAGCCATCCTTTGAAATTTGTGGTTTTCCAAATTTTGCAGTGCAGCAATCCAGCCAAGTAATGTGTACAAAATGCGTATGCTAGGGTAAGCTTTCCATAAAAAATTTGTATATTAGTGAAAACAACATACAAAATGGGGGAAATTACTTTGCCAGAATGGGTGCATTAAGAGAAATGCCCATTAAAATACTGGTGAATTTTCACGAGGGCTTTTTTTTAAAAACCTCCACCACCACAAAGTGACGTGGAAATGTGGGGACCGGAATCTAAGAGGCTGCTTTAGAGAATGCTGTTCACTTTCCATCCCTGACTCTCTGTCCGCTTCTTCCTTTCAGCCAGACCTTTGCCCAGTTTGCCAGGACAGAGGGCATCCACAGGACAGAGATCTTGGAGTACTGCCAGTTGTTGAGGAGTCCCCAGGCTTTCATTCCCTCTTTCCAGGTAACAGATGCCCTCTGACTCCAACCAGTTATTTAAGAACATCTGGAGCTCATTGAAGTTTAATGGATCATCTCTAAAAATGCTTTTTAAACAAGAGCTTTTGGGTCTTGAGCCTTGTCAGGGTTAACAAAGTTTCTCCTAGGGGGTGGGCTATAGGGGCCACCTGCACCCCATGTTTAAAGCTCCTGGTTCAGTCCCCAGCAACTTCCATTTGGAGGGACCAGGAGGTCTCTTTGGGTGGGTTGCTGCCAATAAGAAGTGTGAGCTAATGATCTAGCCCAGAGCTTTCAAAACTGTGTGCCGCGACACATTAGTGTGTCGGCTGCAGCGTGTAGGTGTGTCGCACAAATGCTCCCCCTGGGGCTGGAAAGGGGTCAGTTTAACCTCTGGTTTGCTAATACAGTGGTACCTCGGGTTAAGAACTTAATTCGTTCTGGAGGTCCGTACTTAACCTGAAACTGTTCTTAACCTGAAGCACCACTTTAGCTAATGTGGCCTCCCGCTGCCGCCACGTGATTTCTGTTCTCATCCTGAAGCAAAGTTCTTAACCTGAGGTACTATTTCTGGGTTAGCGGAGCCTGTAACCTGAAGCGTCTGTAACCTGAAGCGTCTTTAACCTGAGGTACCACTGTAAAATGGAATTACTGTGTCGCAAAATGATTCATGTCTTAAAAGTGTGTCGCCAACACGAAAAGTTTGGAAAGCTCTGATCTAACCTGACGTAAGGCCAGTTTAGGATATTGATCTGTACTTGGCCAAAGTTGCACTTTGAGACGTCTCATACCTTTGAGCTTTTCCTGTGCTATCAGTGTGCGATCATTTTTAATGTGGAATGTGAAGCAGGGGAGAGGCGTTTGTTATGTGAATGAGCATCTTGTACAATAGCCATTACAATCTGAATCAAGCAAATCCCACTTAGCAGGTGCTATGCTCCCTCCTTTCTCCCCACCCCTTATTATCTGGGATAGCTGTTATGGGGTGGGGTCAATGTTAATCCCCATTCCTGCCTCCCATAACTGGCAGGGTTTGGGGGAGTAATGCTGAAGAACAGAGCTAAGTTGCTTTGTAGCAGGGCTGGCCCTGGTATACAACCTGATTCAGCTTGTAGGATGAATGCAATACATCATTACTAGGCCGAAGCCTCATTTGTGGAAGTGCCCTTTAAAAAGCATGATTAAAATAGTAAAATAGTCCTGTCTATCGCAAGGGCAGGAGAAACCAAGCCTCTTTGCCTGGCCTTTGGCAGGATTTTAAAGGACCCAAGGATGCTTGATGCTCAATCACATATAATTTCCCCCTGACATTTTCGGCAGATCAAAAGCCGCTGTGGAAGCTGCAATCTTGAGCAGAGGATGAGTGATTGGGGTCGGGAATGGGGAGAGAGGGGCTGCTTATTCTTCACCTCTGGCCATTTTATCTGCTCTATATCGCACTCACACCCCCGGCAGCCTCCTTCTGTGGTAGCTGAATCAAGCTAACCGAATCCACAAAGTGAATTTGCCTTGGCAAATTTTGCTGAGTTATTAAGAGCTAGTAAAAAAGGGTTTATAGACAAAGTCCTTAGACCAGACATCACCCAGGTGAAGCCCCTTCCTCTAGCTTAGTGTGACGTGCAAAACAGGTTTTTAAGAGTGATCTGCCTTTCTATTGTTGCCCAGTCTCCAAGCCCTGCAAGATTCCAGGGGATCTAGGAGCTTATTCAGGATTCGGCACAGGAGAGACTGTGGTGTCTTTATGATATATGGTTTGTTTACACATATAAGCCACCTGAGCCTCCAGTGAAGGGGCTCACAGCATTGGCATCTCATCGCTGCAGCCTGCCAGATTCCAACTTATAGCTCACAGAACTCAATTCTCAACTCTGGCTTTTGGCTTTCTAACTCTCAGTGAGTTGAGGGAGGAAGCCCTAACCATCTGATATCTGGCACAGAACCACGTCCTTTGTTACCTTAATGGCCCATACTTAGAGGGCCATTACTTCACCAGGAAGCTAGACTGGCTATTCCAGGAATTGAATTCATGCCGGATCCATGAATTAGAAGTGGGTCCAGGCCTCTGCTCCCCACCCCGAACTCATAACACTATCTTCAGGTTAAGAGATAAGAGTTTTTTTGTTCCATAGCTGTCTCCTAGCCAGTACGCTACAGCTAACAACTGTAAACACTTTAAAAGAACTTAACAACATGTAAGCCGGCCTTCAGGTGCATGAGCTGTTTTGATGAGGTCTGCCCCAAATATCAATCCTGCCACTTTTCCGGGACTGCTGCTCTCCTGCAGAAGTGGAAAGAGGGTTATCTAATTACTTTTCATTGACTCAGCTCCCACAGCAACCTGAACAGAGTGCCCCCAAATGCATCTCATTCCTCCTCTCCCCTGCAATCTGTATAAGTCCCCCCCCCATTGTCTTTTGCAGGTTTACAAGCTGATCTATGCCTCTCGCCTGGTGGACTGTGGCCTCCCGCCCAGGCCTTGCATTACTGCGAAGCGGCAGCGACTGCGCTTCTTGCTCAGAAGCAGAACACGTACCCTGTCCTCCTGGAGCAAGTGATCAAGGTGGGCTTTGGGTTATGAGGAAAAGCCATGCACTTCATGTCACAAGAGACTCGCATGGGGAGGCAAACTAAGGCCTGGGGGCCGGATCCGGCCCAATCGCCTTCTCAATCCGGCCCGCGGAGGGTCCAGGAATCAGAAGAATGTGCCCTTTTATTTAAAATGCATCTCTGGGTTATTTGTGGGGCATAGGAATTCGTTCATTCCCCCCCCCCCCAAAAATATAGTCCGGCCTCCCACAAGGTCTGAGGGACAGTGGAACGCCCCCCTGCTGAAAAGGTTTGCTGACCCCTGCAAGAGAGCTTGATCCTTATTCCAAACTGGTGATGAACTGGCAAGATGAATGCTCCTATGCGAGAGGGACCAACTCTTTCCACAGCGAGCTAGACATGCCCCGTCCTTCCCAAGCCCAAGTGTCATAGTGTTAGAATTCATTTATTCATGTCTAAATTTACCTCCACAGTGGAGTTTTCTTTTGAAGTGTGACACAGCCTCCACTGGTTTCTGACCATTACCGTTTTTAAGGTACGAATCTGTGTCCAGCTGTTCTCTCACCTTCCCTTTTCTGCTTTATGCCAGCAGTTATTCCAACCCCTAAATTAGTACAGTATTGGTTTTGAATAGAAACCTCCCCTGAATATAGACTGCACCCCTAAAATGAGATCCCTTTGAAATGAAATTTTATGTATATAATCAATCTCTGGCACCATCCAGTGCTACTTGTCTCACAATAAATAAATCCCTGGACAACTGGAGTGGGTCATCCATTTACAAAAACTACCAAAGTATGTTGAAATTCCACGTGGCTCCCAAGGTCTCGTCTTAAATAACGGTTTCTATTTCTATAGGAGCACAATTGTAGGCCGCACAGGTTTTATGCAAACCAGATTAAAGGGTGGGAAAGCACATCCTATATTGAGACTAATACAGTATATATGTGAATGCAGGTGTCTTTTGTTGGAACACACCTGTTTATGTGCCTGATTCCTTTAGCTCTGTTTATGGGGAGGGATCTGATTACAGGTGTGCTATGCTCACAATGAACTTCATGTCCCAAGAGGGACATGAAGGGACGCGGGTGGCACTGTGGGTTAAACCACAGAGCCTAGGACTTGCCGATCAGAAGGTCGGCAGTTCGAATCCCCGCGATGGGGTGAGCTCCCGTTGCTCGGTCCCTGCTCCTGCCAACCTAGCAGTTCGAAAGCACGTCAAAGTGCAAGTAGATAAATAGGTACCGCTCCAGCGGGAAGGTAAACGATGTTTCTGTGCGCTGCTCTGGTTCGCCAGAAGCAGCTTAGTCATGCTGGCTGACTGAACCCAAAGGGTGCTCATCAATGGTTCCTCTTCATCCTGGAGAAGAGTGACTAGTGGGGTGCCACAGGGTTCTGTCTTGGGCCCTGTCTTATTCAACATCTTTATCAATGACTTGGATGATGGACTCAAGGGCATCCTGATCAAATTTGCAGATGACACCAAACTGGGAGGGGTGGCTAACACCCCAGAGGACAGGATCACACTTCAAAACGACCTTGACAGATTAGAGAACTGGGCCAAAACAAACAAGATGAATTTTAACAGGGAGAAATGTAAAGTATTACACTTGGGCAAAAAAATGAGAGGCACAAATACAAGATGGGTGACACCTGGCTTGAGAGCAGTACATGTGAAAAGGATCTAGGAGTCTTGGTTGACCACTTGGTTGACATGAGCCAACAGTGTGACGCGGCAGCTAAAAAAGCCAATGCAATTCTGGGCTGCATCAATAGGAGTATAGCATCTAGATCAAGGGAAGAACCGGTGCCACTGTATTCTGCTCTGGTCAGACCTCACCTGGAGTACTGTGTCCAGTTCTGGGCACCACAGTTCAAGAAGGACACTGACAAACTGGAACGTGTCCAGAGGAGGGCAACCAAAATGGTCAAAGGCCTGGAAACGATGCCTTATGAGGAACGGCTAAGGGAGCTGGGCATGTTTAGCCTGGAGAAGAGGAAGTTAAGGGGTGATATGATAGCCATGTTCAAATATATAAAAGGATGTCACATAGAGGAGGGAGAAAGGTTGTTTTCTGCTGCTCCGGAGAAGCGGACACGGAGCAATGGATCTAAACTACAAGAAAGAAGATTCCACCTAAACATTAGGAAGAACTTCCTGACAGTAAGAGCTGTTCGACAGTGGAATTTGCTGCCAAGGAGTGTGGTGGAGTCTCCTTCTTTGGAGGTCTTTAAGCAGAGGCTTGACAACCATATGTCAGGAGTGCTCTGATGGTGTTTCCTGCTTGGCAGGGGGTTGGACTCGATGGCCCTTGGGGTCTCTTCCAACTCTATGATTCTATGATTCTATGCTGGCGACATGACCTGGAAGCTGTACGCTGGCTCCCTCAGCCAGTAAAGGAAGATAAGCGCCGCAACCCCAGAGTCGGCCACAACTGGACCTAATGGTCAGGGGTCCCTTTACCTTTACGTTTATGCTCACAATGGCCAGTTCCTGTTAAGGACTTGGTTGCCGTGTTTTGAACCAGCCCACGTTTCCAAACACTTCCTTAGGGCTGCCCTGCACAGAAAAAGCTCCAGCAACCCAGCTCAGATGTGACATGAGCCTGCTTTGAGAAGCCAAACCCTTGTATCCCAAGAAGGGGTCTTGCTTGGGAGTCAGCCTCATTGCGGACTTGTTCAGCAGCTGATTGAGGAGGAGACCTGAAATTATGTCAGTCCGTAGCAAACAACCTCTGTTTGCCCTCCATAGTGGATTCAGCTGTATAAATATTCAGAATAAATGGAAGGAAAGACGGCTAAATCAGAAACAGCACAAATTACAAATGCGGCACAGGGCGTAAGTAGCTCAGTTAGTTACAGGCTGATCTGTTAATTCCTTTCTAATGTTTCATTTAATGATAATCGCATTTGCCTAATCTGTGTTTCGCACATACGTTAACACGAATGGCTGAAAGCCCTGGAATTTGAGAAGGGGCCTCGACATGTTCCAAGAAACACGTTTCTCACGAGGAGCAAATGACATGAACAACCTGCTAATAATTGCTGAATTTGGAGAGAGTTGTCACAGGTGGGATAAGCGCTGCAATTTAGAGAAGTAATTTAGCAAGCGTAGCTCTTGTGGAGACGAGTCTTGCTTCTCCGTGGCTGCTTTTGAGTTCTGTGGGGCAAAATTTGGGACAAAATGTGCCATTTGGGACATTCTGAGGTGTTAGGTAGTGGAGTCACCAGGTATAGGCAGGTGGCAGATCCAATTCCCATGTCAGATTTGGGGGGCTGTTGGATGATGTTCTCTGTGGCACTGCACAGGTGATGTTGCAGCTGTGACACACACATTCTCTCTGGCCCAATCCACACAATTGCTGAGATTGGGGGCAGGGGGTGGGGAGGCCAGTGGAGAAAGATGTTGCTGCACTCACATTTTTCTCCACAGCTTGAATGTTTGGAGAAGGCAGGTGAACAGGCAGTGGAGCCTTCTAGAATGCAGTTAAGCACCATGTCAGTGTGTTATAAAAAAACAATAGGTTAGGCTAAGTTAGATGGACCAATGATTTCACTCACCAACATCCCATCTTCTGCTCCCAGTAACCACAACTGGCCTTCTAGAATGGCGCTGAGAGGATCAGGATTTCCCCCCCTTGGTATTATCAAAAGAAGAGTTTTTGTCTTGAAGGCAGAGCTAACAGTTCTTGCTTGGTTCCCCCCTCCCCCCTTTAAAAAATCCTCTTTTGCCACCTAACTTAAAGAGCCCTCTGCTGACTGGAGCAGTGACTCTGGATCCTCTGAACTAACTGCTCCTCTCCTCGCTTCTTCCCAATCGCACAGCTGGCAGAGCGCCTGAAACTCTCTGACCCCTGCCTGCTGGAAAAGTCTGTGCAAGAGGCCATTTGGGAACCGGGTTGGCTTTCAGAGCTCCGAACCAGATGTCGGCAGTGGGAGGTAAGACTTCTTGGGTGGGGTGTCGATGGGCTGATTTGTGATCTAGCTCTTTCTGGCCACTCGGATTAAGCTGAAGAGAAGCAGCTGTTTCCCAACTTGAGGCACGCGGCACCCAAAGCCTGCTTTACCATCTGAGGCAGAAAACAGGGACTTCCTGCTTCCTGCTCCACCTCCCGCATGGTTGCCATCTCTGGGAAGTCGAGGGGATGTGTCTTTGTTGCCAGGTGATGGTACTCCTCTGACTACCATTCCCCATGACAGACGGGTGAGGCCATGCCTCCATTGTCACACTGATGGCAGAATCTGGCACTCGCCAGTGTCGCCTCTCCTCCATTGGTTTCCCCCCCTCGGCTTCAGCAACATGGCTGCTTTCAGAAAACACTTGTTTTGGCTTTGCGTCGCTTTCTCGTGGTTTAATACCACATCGGATGCCATCCTGATGTCGGAGAGTGTGGCGTATACATTTTGCATTGATGAACAGAAGATTTATCTTCCACAGAGATCTGTGGAACTGCCGCCTAAAGGGCAGAAGATGGGTGATCCCCTGGATGTGCTACTCGGTTCAGGGGATGTAATTGGGGTTGCTATGTAGAGTTCTGACTATATATATGACATAGAGTTCTATGTAGAGCCAGTGTGTTGTAGTGGTTAAAAGCGGTGGACTCGTAATCTGGTGAACTGGGTTCGCTTCCCCGCTCCTCCACATGCAGCTGCTGGGTGACCTTGGGCTAGTCACACTTCTCTGAAGTGTCTGAGCCTCACTCACCTCACAGAGTGTTTGTTGTGGGGGAGGAAAGGAAAGGAAATTGTTAGCCACTTTGAGACTCCTTAGGGTAGTGATAAAGCAAGATATCAAATCCAAACTCTTCCAGTCCCACCTCCTCCCAATGGTGGGTGATGAAGACTGTTCACGATGAGCCCTGGTGATTTGTCTGTGGCCTCTGTGACTTGTCCCTTGTTGGCACTTCATCCGCCTTCTTGCCTGCTGCCCCAGAGCTGCCCCCACTTAGCTCCAAGCTCTGTTTAACCTGTTTTTCTTCTTCTCCTTCTCATCTCATTTAAGGAGGAAGGAAGTCTTTGCAATGCCAACTGCACCCAGCCGGAATTTCCCAGAACCAGTGGATCAACACCAGGTAAAAGAACGAAAGGATGAACAGTGGCAGGTGTTCACAGAAAGGAAGACACAGCTGCACTGGGGCCAGTTAAATGAATCCCTTTTACAATTATTCTGGCACATCTGAGACTGTTCCTTTCTGCTATTGGATTGGATTCAAAGACTTCCCTGGAAGTATGACTTGCAGAAGCCTATTGGTATCCTTAATCATCATCATCAAACCTTTTATTGGTATCACATACAAACATCCATAGCAAATCAATACAGAATTCCCACCTTCCCAGTGACACAAAACATTTGTCAAATGAAAGAGGCAAAGCAGTCTAACATGACATCTCTAGGTCTCCAGGGAGATCACACGTCTGCAACGCGTTTCGATGACAAAAAACCAGATAAAGATATGTAGCCACTAACTTGGTGAGCTCCTGATTATTCCCCAATAATAGAAAATGTATGACCTCTAACTCTGGTTTCCATTTGGGGATGCAGAGTTGATCTAGGAACTGCTGGCGGGGATCAACGTATAGTTTATGTTTGAGAACCATACGTGTAAGAGTTTCCACCTGATGGTCTTCACATGGGCAAATTCTTTCTCCTTCCACCATTCTCGAGAACCTTCCCCATTGGAGGTTTGAAGGATTTGAATTAAACCTGGCCAGCGAAAATGCCCTTCTTTCTTGAGGATTAAGCAAAAATTCAAGATAATTGTGGTTAATTTCATGCGCCCAAGAAAGTTGAAAGTTAAGAGGGAACATGTTTTCTCTGCTGCTGCTGTTAGTTCCTGGCGTTCCATGTCCCACAACCTAGTTTTTATTACAGCCTTTGCAGATGGTGGGGACATGGATCGCGAAAATACCACAGACAGCCCAAGTTGCTGTACCTTTATGTTAAACCGTTGTAGCCCTGGGGAAAGAAAGGGATCTAGCAAAAGTTCACTAGGGAGAGGATCTTTATCTGTTGTGAATCAGATGTTTAACCAGCGTGTAAGAAATCTTGCCCAGGCTATGGTCTCTACCTTGTGTTGACCTCCCTCTAGACACAAGGCTGCATAGGGTACACAACGTGGGACAGCAAAAATCTTAAAAAGGAAAGCTGCCTGCACTCGTTCTTCCAGCTGGGTAAACCCTGGCAGCCAGACTGGAATTCCGTAGAGCAACTGAGCTATATCTTTGGCGTTGAAGACCTTGAGGGCAGAGGGGGTATGCAAATTACCTCTTGTTATAAAGAAACGCATTATGGTCTGCATAGAGATCTTACTGGCATTTACTGCCGTCGCACGGTGCAAGGACCATAGAAGCCTATGATGGAATGTGATTCCCAGGTAGATGAATTTGAATACCTGCTGGATGGGTTTTCCACCAAATACCCAGCTATAGCTTTTGCGTGAATTCCCAAAAACCACTATTTTGCTTTTTATCAAAGTTCATGCACAATTTCATTCTGGACAGATAGTCAATACAGGAATTTAACAAACGTTTTAGGCCCATTCTTGTCCGTGAAAGCAAAATCATATCATCTGCCTGTAGAAGGATGGGAATGCTTGATGGGTTGAGTTTTGGGCTGTGGGCATCCACCTGTTTTAGTAGAGAAGCGAGGTCGTTAAGAAAAAGATTAAAAAGAGAGGGAGCGAGTACACAGCCCTGCTTTACTACTCTGTTTATAACAACAGGATCTGCCATTGCATTCCCTGGTGTTGTTCTTATGCGATAGGTGTTCTTTGTGTAAAGCTTTTTGATCAGGTAAAGTAATCTAGGTTCTAGGCCCATTGTCTCCAATTTGGACAGTGTGGATGCCCTGAAATTTGAACAACAGGTGGACTCTGTTTCTCAGGCAGTAAATGCATCGGAATAGGTTAAAAGGGGCTCGGATGTGGCTGTTTCTGAGGTTCTCATTCTGTTCTTCCTGTCTCTAGCCTTCATTGGGCAAGGGATCTAAATTCTACAAGCCCTTCAGAAGGCCTGTTTGCTTCCTGTATGCTTTTGCATAAAGCCCAGGAGAGTTCAGTGGGTCTTATGGGGAGGATTGCAATGTTAGCTGGATCATCTGTCAAGCTGGGTTTTTCCACTACTGTCCAAACCTAAAGATTCTGAGGAGTTTTAACAGGATCAGCTACTAAAGTTCCCAGATATTCAGTCCCAGTCTCTGAAAGGTTTTGTTGTTTTTTAAAGCTGAAAATAAAACTGAAGCCTATTTGTGGAATATAGGCTTTCTAACAGGTAACTTTCTAACAGGTAACTAAAAAGGGACGCGGGTGGCGCTGTGGGTTGTCTACAGAGCCTAGGACTTGCCGATCAGAAGGTCGGCAGTTCGAATCCCCGCGACGGGGTGAGCTCCTGTTGCTCGGTCCCTGCCCCTGCCAACCTAGCAGTTCGAAATCACGACAAAGTGCAAGTAGATAAATAGGTACCGCTCCAGCGGGAAGGTAAGCGGCGTTTCTGTGCGCTGCTCTGGTTCGCCAGAAGTGGCTTAGTCATGCTGGCCACTTGACACGGAATCTGTACACGTCTCCCTCAGCCATTAAAGTGAGATGAGTGCCGCAACCCCAGAATCGGTCACGACTGAACCTAACAGTCAGGGGTCCCTTTACCTTTACCTTTAACAGGTAGCTAAATGGATCTTCCAGGGTAAGAGGCAGTATACCTTTGAATACCAGATGCTGTGGACAAATAAAAGGAGAAGCCCCTCTCTTTCATGCTTTATTAAGAGACTGGCTTCTGCTGGAAACAGTAAGTGGGAATAATAAGAGGGTTGGATCCAGCTGCTCAGTTGTTCTGATCTAATAGCTATTGGCATTCCTGCTTAAGGTACCTCATTTGTAGCCTTGGAGTTTGAACAGGTGTGCAGGCCATCTATGAAATGGGGGATATACTGATCTAATCCATCAAATCTTACATTATCCAGATTTGGCTCCCCGTTCTGAGTTTGCACAAAGCCAAGGCTGCTTGAAGGAGCTGGAGCCTCATCCTTCGACTTACCTGCCACCGGTGGACTCGGCTCAAGACCAGCCCGATGTGGGACAGAGAAGGCATTTCTATCCTGGGCCTCCTGTAGATACAACTGATGCGGGTGTGGAGACTTGTCTTCCAGGAAGTGACCACGGTTATGTTTCCCCTCCTGGAGGACATGCAGCAGACCTCTCCTCACAACAACAACCACCAGGTTAAGAGACGGTTGAAATGATTTGCGATGGTGTGTGCATGTACTAGTTCCCTGGTCTCCATCTGGAAACCATATATTGCATTTTAAAAAATTTATTGATTTTGGTGGCCTTGGGAGATAAGGCAAGCCATGCCCTTTTCCACTTCCTCTGTCTCCAGTCCTGCTGCATCTGCTCCCCACCTGCTGGGGGGCACAGATATATTTAAGATGATGGAGACGGAGGGTGGGCAAAAGAACCAGTGATAAATCTGGGTTCTGGAAAATGATTGTCGCTCCTCTTTTGCAGGTGGAGGGGCTCCTGAATGAATGAATGAATGAACTTTATTACAGTCTCAGACCAGGATTAAAAAAAGCATATAAATAAAATAGCAATTAGGATTTTTTAACCGATAAGGCATAGGATATAACATCTGAATAAAATACACGATTAGACATGGATAGTGGATGGATAAAAAACTGATAATTAAAACAAATAAGAACTAAAAACAAACAAGGACACGCAGTTAAAACAACTGTAAGAGCAAAAGAACTAAAATACTCATAGTTAAAACAACAAGGCTGCAGAGTCAAAACAAGAGGCTGCAGAGTAAAAAGCCTCTTAAATAGAGGACACTCACAACATTAAAAACTGCTGTGCAGTTATGGTTAAAACAGACAATTAAAACAATGTACAAATGATTGTCGCTCCTCTTTTGCAGGTGGAGGGGCTCCTAAGCATTTAACAGCTGCCTGACAGTCTATATCACGCATAGGCAAACTCAGCCCTCCGGATGTTTTGGAGACTACAATTCCCATCATCCCTGACCACTTGGTCTTGTTACCTAGGGATCATGGGAGTTGTAGGCCAAAAACATCTGGAGGGCCGAGTTTGCCTGTGCCTGGTGTATATGATGGAGAACGCTTCACCCGTAAAATTTCAACCTCTCAGGCTGGTTTTTTTTAAAGGCATAGGAGCCCTGTCTCAACATAGAACCAGGCACTATTGAAACAGCAGGACTTGCTTCCCAGCAGACATGCTTAGGATTGGGAGGGGGGCAGGGGGAAAAGCAGGTCCCTGCTTTTGCGGAAAGGCGTAAGAGTTCGCTTCCTGCTTCTGCCTTTGTTTGTTTGTACCTGGCAGTGCTTGTGTCCTGGACACTTTGGCTGCAGAGGCCATTTCCAGGGAACTGCCTCCTAACAGCTCTTGCCATTTTGAACTCCAGATCTTGGCTGGTGGCTACAATAAAACCTGTTCTGGTGTAATCTGCAGGGGGCACCGCGGAATCCTGTGGCCCGTACCACTTCCTGGGTGATCAGGAGAGCATTCCGGAGCATCAGGTGAGAGTTGGGGGGGGGGGGGGTAGCTGAACTATGGAACTCAGTGCCACAAGATATGGTGATAAATTGGATGGCTTTAAAGTGGGATTAGGCAAATCCACAGAGGAGAAGGCTTACTTACAGTGGCTGTTAGGGGTGGAAAGATCTCTCTGTTTCTCATTTTAATCCAATCTTAAATTTAGTTCCCCACCTTTCTGAAGCAATTGGTGGATTTCCTTTTAATAGCTGCTCACAAGCATCCTTCAACATTTTTGTGCAAATTGCTCCTAATAAGCACCACTTCATATGCATTGTTGACCTGTTTTTTAAATGTTACTTTCACTAACATGTTAGGTTTTTATGCACACTTTCACCTAATACAATCACTTTTGTGATCTTTGGATGGCTGGAGAATTGCATCACAAAATCTGGATGAATTTTGAAAGTATGAATTTTGAAGAACCGTTGTGTTTCAATTGTCATATTGTTTTGGAAGGTCCAAATTTGATAAACCTCTGCTTCCAATGTGAAATGAATTTAATTTCTGCTAGTCATGATGGCTAAAGCCACTGGGAAAGGGCAGCTGCCTGTATGTCCTGCTTGTGAGCTTCTCAGATGGGGAGATACGCCTTTGGTTTGACCCAGCAGGGCTCATCTTCTTATTGCTGTGTTGTTCTTGTTGACACATGCACCTACACTTCTCAGCTGACGTGTCGCTGCCCTTGCCCTCCTGTGGCGCAGTGGGTCAGTGCGTCTGTCTGCTAACCAGAAGGTTGGTGGTTTGAGCCCACCAGGGACGGCTGTGGGCAGGATTCCTGCATTACCCCCGGGGGTTGGACTAGATGACCCTCGGGGCCTCTTCCTATCTGATTCTTTTTGGTGCCTGCTTGAAAACATTCTTGTTTAGACAAGCCAACCCAAATGCTTAGAAAATTGAGGGAATTTTAATCTGTTTCAGTATTTTAACTTTTGTATGTTTTAAAGTAGGGTTGTGAATTTTTCTCGATTGTACTGTATTGCTCTTAATCTTTTTGTAAACCGCTTTGAGGTTGTTGGTTAATAATAATAATAATAATAATAATAATAATAGCAACATAGTGATAATAATAATTATAGTAATAATAATAAATAATGATAATAGTAAATTTTATTTAGACCCGCCCTCCCCAGCCAAGACCTGGCTCAGGGCAGCTAACACCAGATATAAAACAATTAATTAAGATACGACTTAAAAACAAGATTAAAATACAACATTAAAATTCAGCCTCATTTCAATAGAAACTCAAATCAAAAACTTTTGGGGGATGAAAACGTCAAATCTTCATCAAGGCCAACTATCCAGACTGGTCCTACATGGGCCAGAAAAAAGCCAGGGAAGTCCCCAAATAGGAGTTCCATCACAGAAGGAGAAAGGAAAAAGGAAAGGGGGAGGGGATCAAGTAGATTCCAAGCCAAAGGCCAGGCGGGACAATCAAACATTATTTTATTAAATAAACAAACAAACGGTGAGCTATGTGGTCTAGTGGAATGCCAGGGGAGAGTTGTTGCTTTAATTGTTACACAACATTTTAATTTTTCTTTAAACTATACAGCAATTTCAAAAGTCAGTGGGTTCAGGAAACTTGGGCTCATGTCCCAACTCTGCCATAGCAGGACTTCCTTTGTGACTTGTCCGAGGCTGCCATGTTCCGGCCTCATTTGGCCCTTTCCGCTCCCACAGGAGAAATACTGATCTGTCTCACAGGACTCTTGTGATGGTGAGTGATGTCAGGAGAGGCCCTTAGGGGATAAGGTTACAGTATAAACCGGTAAGATGAAGCCACGACGTTTGTTCAGTGAAGAGAACCTGCTCCATGTTTTCTTTTGGTGCCAGAACACTTTAAATGCCCGGAGCCGGACCATTTCTGAGAGTTCCACAATATCCATGGTCGAGGATTCCCACAGCTCCCAGAAGCATCAGGGGAGGAAGCCACATCAGAGAAGCTAACACAGGATGAAACGGAACAAAAAGAAGCAAAGGTGAGGCATCTGACTGAGAAGGGCACCTGCGATGTCTGAAAAATATGCCCAGGCCCACAGGATTTCATTTCTGCTTTGCAGCAGATTAGGAAGGACAGAATCACGTCCTCTTGGATTTAGAGCCACGATCAAGGTCTAATTCACCTTTCAGGTGGCTGGGAGTATTGCAATTAATTCATTCATATAGAACTTCACACAGCCTTTAAGTACAGCCCAGTTCTATACATGTTTCCTCAGAAGTGACTCTCGCTGTGTTTAGCTTGTGGCCAGGTAAGTGTGCATAGGGTTTGTAGTCTTAATGTATGGGGTTCTTTGTCTTGAACATACCAGTAGCAGACGGTGTGGTGGGGTGTGGGGCAGAAGGACTTACCTGACCTCCCGGCAGCTGAGTCACTGCCGCTTACTGGAGTGGGAGGAGAGATGGTGGGGAGGACAGGGCAGTGTGAATGCGCTGGCAGGAACGCCAGAGTGGCTCAGTAGGGCATTTTCACTGAGCTGATCTCATTCCGCCTGGTTGTGATGGACTCAGGCTCGGACTCGGAACCGGAGGAGTCTCAGTCTGCACCGGATCCTCTGCCTCAGGCGGCATCTGAACCAAGTCTGGGGCCTGAAGAGTCCCAGTCTGCACAGGTTCCCCTGCAACAAGTGCCAGCTGGGCCGAGTCAGGGGCCTGAGCCTGCCCTGGCTCCAGATGGGGGGATGACCTTGTTGCCTTCAGCTGGGCCATCACTTACAGCTGCTCCACTACCAGTTGGGTCAGGGGAGGCTGAGGCGGCCTCTGGGTCTAGTAACCCACCGACGTCTCCCAAGCTGCAGAGACTAAGGTCTGAGAGAAGGAGAGACCTGAGTACTCGCAGGAGGAGTGCTCACCTTCAGGTGAGACAGGGAGGTGAGTCACTGGGGGATCAGGACCGGCCGTTACCCTGACAAAGATAAATGGCTGTCAGGCCCGACCCCAGGTTGCGGGAGCAACATTGCTGCTTGCTGGAACTTGCCTGAGACCCTGTGCCCGACCTAGCCTGGTTTCCTGCCTTGAGACTTGCCTTGGCCATGTTGGACTGACTCCTCACGGAATCCTTGGATTCGGGACCGGACCTGGACCGCGTTGCTCGGGTTAACCCCTGGGCCCAGCACACTGGTAAACAGCTGTGACTCACCAGCTGGGAGGTCAGGGAAGTGCCTCTGCCTCTCAACACTGTCTCCTGCTGCACAATATGGTGATACCTGCTAGCTTAAAGGTAAAGGTACCCCTGACCGTTAGGTCCAGTTGTGGATGACTCTGGGGTTGCGCGCTCATCCCGCTCTATAGGCCGAGGGAGCCTGCGTACAGTTTCTGGGTCATGTGGCCGGCATGACTAAGCCGCTTCCGAACAGCGCACGGAAACGCCGTTTACCTCCCGCTGGAGTGGTACCTATTTATCTACTTGCACTTTGACTTGCTTTCGAACTGCTAGGTTGGCAGGAGCTGGGACTGAGCAACGGGAGCTCACCCCGTTGTGGGGATTTGAACCGCCGACCTTCTGATCGGCAAGCCCTAGGCTCTGTGGTTTAACCCACAGCGCCACCCACGTCCCTTACCTGCTAGCTTAGATGGTTTTAAAAGAAGAATTCGGCAGCCATTGTCAGGATGAGGCAACGAGATTCTATTAGCCATGGTAGCTAAATGGAATCTCCATGTTGAGAGGCAGCATGAATGGCAGATAGCAGGGCAACAGCTGAAGGCTGCAGAACTTCGCGCCCTGCTTGGAGGCTTCTCGGAGGAAGCACCCAAATGGCATCTGTTGGAAGCTGAGTAGTGGGCAAGATGAACCGTGGTCTGATCCAGTAAGGCACTGCTTATATTCCTGTGTCACCAACAGGTGCGATTGGGGTTTCCTTCATCTGCTTGATATTCTCTCGCAAAGTCTAAGGGTATTTTCACAGACTTGTGCTTTTATAATTGGAACATAAAATCTATGGCTAGAACTTCACAATCATTTGTCTTCCACATTCTGTCCTGTATTACCGGTAGGTGTGTGTGTGTGTGTGTGTGTGTGTTTGTGTGTGAGAGAAGGGAGGGAGAGGGAGAACACGTCTCACATGTTCTTCTTGGTGTCATATGTGAAACTGAGTTAAGAATCTGGGACATTTCTTGTGTTCAGGCAGAGCAAAACAAGAAATTATTTATTTATTTGTAAAAGTATGTGTGCCTTGCAAAACATCAGGGTTTGCAGTACAAACAAATGACTGTCTACATGGGTTTTTGGTGCCTCTCTGTGCTCCTCTGGTGCTTATTAGCTCTCTTGAAGGAAGAAAAAGCTACCAGCTCTCTCACTCCAGATTTTGGGCAGGGTTCACCTTCCAAACTCTGCCAGCGGAAGTCTTGTACAAGAGCTTCTGCTTGTGCAACAGGGCTCCCCCCCACATTCTCCTCCACCCCTTTGAAATTGCCTCTGAAGGGACCTGGAGAACCTGCAGAGCAGAGCTCAGGGAAAGGGGGTGGGTTGTTCTGTCTGGCAAGCTGATATACAGATGCAACATTTGCAATAGCACAGTGTTGAACCCACCCTTTCTATTTTTCCAGGCCTCTGGGTCTGGCTGGTTCCGTTGGTTCCGATCGAAACCCTCTAAAGAAGCTGAACCCTCCAAAAAGGTACCATCTGCTGCTGCTCCAGATTCTCAGGTAATGCAGGATCTCTTTAAGAGGAATTTTCTGCTTGCTGCAGAATTCAAAGTCTTGGTGCTGACCTTTAAAGCCCTAAACGGCCTTGGTCCTGTATCCTTGAAGGAGTGTCTCCACCCCCATTGTTCTGCCCGGACACTGAGGTCCAGCGCCGAGGGCCTTCTGGTGGTTCCCTCACTGCGAGAAGTGAGGTTACAGGGAACCAGGCAGAGGGCCTTCTCAGTAGTGGCACCTGCCCTGTGGAACGCCCTCCCACCAGATGTCAAAGAGAAAAACAACTACCAGACTTTTAGAAGACATCTGAGGGCAGCCCTGTTTAGGGAAGCTTTTAATGTTTAATAGACTATTGTATTTTAATATTCTGTTGGAAGCCGCCCAGAGTGGCTGGGGAAACCCAGCCAGATGGGTGGGGTATAAATAATAAATTATTATTATTATTATTTTATTATCAGAAGAACCCCACACCCAAAGTTCCTCAGCATTTCCTAACAACTACCATTGTGGTCTCCACACTGATAAACATCCATGGGGCCTCAGGGTTCTCTGGTGCACAGCCTGAAAATGGCTGCCACAGATCCACGCAAGGAGTGTAGTTCATAAACGCCTGTTGTGTGTTGGTGTCATGAGACATTGGTGGACTTAAAATTGTAGTATCAGAAATGAAGTGGAAAGGAAAGAAGGGTGGAGGAAGAAATTTTGCGTAGATTTTGTCTGTTCGATAATTCACATCGCATTTAGAATTCTTTGGCAAGGACTGAAATAATAATAATAATAATAATAATAATAATAATAATAATAAATTTATTATTTGTATCCTGCCCATCTGGCTGGGTTTCCTCAGCCACTCTGGGCGGCTTCCAACAAAGACCAAAAATACACTAAAATATCACACATTAAAAACATCCCTGATGTCTTCTGAATGTCAGGTAGTTGTTTTTCTCTTTGACATCTGATGGGAAGGCGTTCCACAGGGCGGGCGCCACTACCGAGAAGGCCCTCTGCCTGGTTCCCTGTAGCTTTGCTTCTCGCAATGAGGGAACTGCCAGAAGGCCCTCGGCGCTGGACCTCAGCATCCGGGCAGAACAACGGGGGTGGAGACGCTCCTTCAGGTATACTGGGCCGAGGCCGTTTAGGGCTTTAAAGGTCAGCACCAACACTTTGAATTGTGCTCGGAAACGTACAGACAACAACAGACCTGGGCTTTAAAACTAACAAAATGAATTTCATTAGAGACAAATGTAAGGTTTTGCACTTAGTAAGGAAGAACCAGCTGCACAAATATAGAATAGGAGACACCTGGCTTACTAGCAGTACATGTGGAAAAGATCTTGGGGTCTTGGTGGACCACAAGCTTAACATGAGTCAACAGTGTGATGCAGCAGCAAAAAAAGCTAATGCTATTCTAGGCTGCCTCAACAGAAGTATAGTGAAGTAATAGTACTACTCTATTCTGCCTTGGTCAGACCATAGCTGGAATAATGTATCCAGTTCTGAGCACCACAATTTAAGAAGGATGTTGACAAGCTGGAGAGTGTCTAGAGGAGAGCATCCAAGATGATCAGGGGTCTGGAAACCAAGCCTTATGAGGAACGATGGAAGGAGCTGGATATGTTTAGCCTGGAAAGAGGAGTGTGAGAGAAGATATGACAGCCATCTTCAAATATCTCAAGGGCTGTCGCATGGAGGATGGAGCAGGCTTGTTTTCACCTGCTCTGGAGGGCAGGACTCGAACCAATGGCTTCAAGTTGCAAGAAAGGAAATTCCGGCTAAAGATCAGGAAGAACTTTCTGACAGCAAGGGCTGTTTGCCAGTGGAACAGTCTCCCTCAGGAAGTGGTGGGCTCTCCTTCCTTGGAGGCGATTTAGCAGAGGTTGGATGGCCGTCTGTCATGGATGCTTTAGCTGAGATTCCTGCATTGCAGGGGGTTGGGCTAGATGACCTTTGGGATCCCTCCCAACTCTACAATTCTATGATTCTATGACAGAGAATAGAGGAGGAGGAAGGGGCACAGTTCAGGAATGCCAGAGGAGGAGTGAACAGGAGCGATGGAAAAGGATTAGGGAATTGTCCAAGTTACTGAAGTTCATCTGCTGGAACTCTGACTTCTCAGTTTTATTAGTCCAGGGTTTCCCAAACTGTGGATTTGTGGTTGTAGACGGGAAATGGCGCGTCCATATGTTAAATATTCACATTGATTTCCAATTGTACTTTTTTTTAACCGCTTCTTGTATTTCCTCCGTTGTGTTTTATCGTATTACAATTTGAATTCTGTGGGATTCAAATTGTAGTAGAGCAAAATACAATATATGAAATAAAAGAGGCAATTAAAAATCATATAGCATTATCACAGTGCATTACAATTGCTACAACAGGCTGAATAATCCTTTACTGGCCTGCCAATAACTTCAGCGACATCCAAGAGTTCGGGCGGGGGGGGGGGGGCGAACCACTTTATAGGACCTTGCTTCATATTTCCAGGGTTGTCTCCTCTGAAAGATGCCTCCTCAAATCCTGTATTCTGTTCCCAATTCCCCGTGTCATTATGGTGAGCCTGCAGCCATGTGGCTTGTCATAGGTTTTCGCGATGGTGGTCAAAAAATAATGACCAGCTCCCCTGATAGCAAGCTCAGTTGGTGAGTGCTAACAGGGTTGCAGGCAAATGAAGAAACCAGAGGGAGGTATCAGCATGTACTACAAGGTTTGTGAAAGTACAAAACAAAACAAGTTAGGGAAACCACAGTCCCCCAAGTCAAGTGCAGGATCTAGTACTGAGTGATCAATTTAAAAAATACATTAAAAAAGAAGTGGTGGGGGAATCTGTTGGGATCCTAACAAAGGTAAAGGTAAAGGGACCCCTGACTATTAGGTCCAGTCGTGGCCGACTCTGGGGTTGCAGCGCTCATCTCGCTTTACTGGCCGAGGGAGCCGGCGTACAGCTTCCAGGTCATGTGGCCAGCATGACTAACCCACTTGTGGTGAACCAGAGCAGCGCATGGAAACGCCGTTTACCTTCCCGCTGGAGTGGTACCTATTTATCTGCTTGCACTTTGACGTGCTTTCGAACGGCTAGGTTGGCAGGAGTAGGGACCGAGCAACGGGAACTCACCCCGTTGCAGGGATTCGAACCGCCGACCTTCTGATCGGCAAGCCCTAGGCTCTGTGGTTTAGCCCCCAGCGCCACCTGTGTTCCTCATAACAAAGGTAGATTGAGGGTAAATTCTACCTGGCTTCATCACTGATATATTATTTCCGTTCTGCAGCAGCAGGTGACTTCACAACCATCCCTTCCTCCTGTGGAGGAGACAAGGCCTGCATTAGTTCCTCCTCCAGCTGCTCCTCACCTGCCGCCCACAGGTGGCAGCCCTCTCCCAAAAAGCTCTCTTCGTAAGTATCTTCCTGTGTGCGTTGCGGAATGTGTTCCTGACAGGTGGTAATAAAGGCTGTTTGTGTACGAACCTTGCTGTGGCCCATAGGACCTCGCAAATAACTCTGGAGGGATCCCCCAGTCTTTTGTAGAAGCTTTTGTGGGGAGTGGTAAGGCCCCCTTGTACAAACTGAAATAATCTCATTGCACTTTTTTCGTCACAGGGGCCAAAACTCCACTGGGCCATAGCAGCAGGGAAGGCTCCATGTTTCCAGATGCCGGAGGCCAGGTGAGAGAAATGTGGGGGCGGGAATAACATGTTCCTTGTGAGGAGATGCCTCAACTTTGGAAAACTGCTCCTCTGAATCCCTGTTGACAGAAGTGCAAATTCAGCTGCCTTGAGATCATTTCTCCCAATATAGTAAAGGTAAAGGGACCGCACACCATTAAGTCCAGTTGCAGACAACTCTGGGGTTGCGGCGCTCATTTCGCTTTATTGGCCGAGGGAGCCAGCGTACAGCTTCTGGGTCATGTGGCCAGCATGACTAAGCCGCTTCTGGCAAACCAGAGCAGCACACGGAAACAACCTTTACTTTCCCGCCGGAGTGGTACCTATTTATCAGCTTGCACTGGTGTGCTTTTGAACTGCTAGGTTGGCAGGAGCTGGGACAGAGCAACAGGAGCTCACCCTGTCGCGGGGATTCAAACCGCCGACCTTCTGATCGGCAAATCCTAGACTCTGTGGTTTAATCCACAGCACCACCCACTTATCTCCCAATATAATGTCCTGCATTTCTGGTGGTTCTGCTGCCCCCTTCCTCCTTTGCCCGCCCCCCAGCAACGGATCCTAGCATCTTCGCTGGGTTTCACGCCTTGGCTCTTCTGCTTCATGTTTCAGGCTACTTTCTCCATCCCTGATCATGTGCCTCCACCCCCAAGAGGAGGGGCAGTTCCACTTTACCGTCCTGCTCAGGTATGGTTTCTGCGCATGTGCATTCCCGCAATGTTGTAAAGAAATAAACTCTAGTAATGATGGTAACAACCGCAGCAGCAATGTAAGAATTGTTTTCTTGGGTGAGGCCAGGTATCCCTCCTTGTTCAGCCTTCTGCAAAGGGTAGACCATGGGTAGGCAAACTAAGGCCCGGGGGCCGGATCTGGCCCAATCGCCTTCTAAATCCGGCCCGTGGACGGTGCAGGAATCAGCGTGTTTACATGATTAGAATGTGTCCTTTTATTTAAAATGCATCTCTGGGTTATTTGTGGGGCCTGCCTGGTGTTTTTACATGAGTAGAATGTGCCCTTTTATTTAGAACGCATCTCTGGGTTATTTGTGGGGCATAGGAATTCATTCATTTTTATGTTTTTTTTTCAAAATATAGTCTGGCCCCCCACAAAGTCTGAGGGACAGTGGACCGGCCCCCTGCTGAAAAAGTTTGCTGACCCCTGTTTGGGCTATCAAGTTCCTTGAGAGCCTGACTCATAGGGGTGATAAGGCATTCAGTCCAACAACAACTGGAGTAGCCAAGTTGGGGAAGTGTGTTCAAGTCCAGCTATCTTGTTCAAGCGGCAGCCTGTTGTTAGCGCATGGGGCGGGGGTTGCCTTTCCTGCTCTTTCTCACTGGAGCTATACTGCTTATGCACGTGTAGGTTACACTTGGATAAGAACCATGATACCTCTCCATTGTAGGTTTTTGGGTTTCATGGACAGTTACCATTTTGCAAAGGTCCTTTGTCAAAGCTCATGAAGCACGTCTGATGCAGGTGCTGGTTTGAGTGTAGAGCTGTGCTGAAGGCTGGCCCTGCCATCATGTAGAGGGAGAGCTAAGACTATTTGAGAGGGTGCGCGTCTAAAATTCTGTTCAGCATCTCAAAATCCATGACTATAAAATGCATGAAAATGGAGGCTTTGTATCCAAATGGGTTGCATGTGCAAATGTTTATTTAATTAATTCCATGTGCTTCTGGGCTGCATCATTTTTGAAGGGTTTGCGATAGAAATTCAGCTTAATTCTTTCTTTAACAGGTTACCACGCCAGCAGCCTCAGGCACCGGCCCAAGGATTTTTCAGCGACGCTACCCACCTCATCCACAATAATACATATGTGCGTGTGTGTATGTATTAACTACGAAGATGTTTCTGCCCTCTGGCAGATCAGAAACCATCCGCTTGCCTGAAGAAAACCAGTCCGATCTGAGTTAGTCAGCTGGCTGCCCGTTCCTTCCCCTCATCCTCTGGTATTGCAGCTCTGTAGCCAAAGAGTATAATCAAAAGTTTGAGGGGGTGAAGGTATACCTTCCCCCCTTTTTGTTTGTTTAAAGTGTTGTTAAGCAGGTGCTATTCAGGTGCAACTCTTTTCATGTGCAACAAGAACAAAAGGAAAGGTATCTCAGGTCAGCCCTGGGGAGGCCAGAAGTTAATCAAAAGGGAAATAAAGGAAGGCTCCCACTTCCTTTTATAGACTGGGACTTTCTCCCACAGAAGTGGGGTTAGGATTGCAGCCCTATTTTTCAAGGAGATGAGAAGCTCTGGGAAAACAAGGCAGAGTTGACTCTCTCCATGGCCAGTAGACACAGCTGGTCATGATCCAGTCATAAGGAAGAATAACTGAGGCTCCTTTTGGGGAATGGGGAACCTCTCCTCCTTTAGGATGGCTGCTGCCATACTTTCAGACCCACTTGACGTCTATTTAGTGTGAATAAATCTTACAAGGCATGCAGCTGACCTCTGTGGATATTTACTTAGAAGTAAGTCCTATGAAGCTTGCTCCCATGAAAGTGGGGGTGCTGAGGCTGCAATCCTACATACACTTACTCGCGACAAAAGCCATTGAACAGAATAGGACTTACTTCTAAGTAAATATGCCTAGGGTCACACTTTGGGGTTGCAATCCTATGATCCTTTGCTTGGGTGCAAACCACTTAATTTTGAGCAAATGTGCCCAGGATTGGACGTACTGCAGGAGGCTGAACCCCTGAAACAGCTTAATCATTTGGGAATAAGTCAACTTACGTGTGAATTGAGAGTACATGGACTCATGTAAAACGATCAGGCTGCAAAAACTACATTTGGTTGGATGTTGTTACCACTGCCCAATGAATGACTGTGATCCTAATCCAACATGACTAAAAAACAGAATAATACTAACAAGCCCATGAACTAGGTGGAGGCGAAGATGAGATGGTGTCTCCTGAGTCTCCTTTCTGCCTGGCTGAAGTGCTGCTGTCTGAGGACTTGCCGGTCTGTGAGAACTGCTATGCACATGCACGTGGAGAGGGCTTGGTATTGTGGTGGCCTCATCTTTCTCAGGTCTTCTCCAAAACCTCAATCACTGAGAAGGCTGGCCAACCTAGCATGCCTGAGAAAGGAAGACTTACGTGGACCAACTCAGCAGTAAGTAGACAACAACGTTACTTGGAGTGGTTTCAGAAAACCTCAGAAGAGCCCTGCTGGATCCGACCAAAGGCTCATCTACTCCAGCATCCTATTTTTGCAGCTGCCAACCACGTGCCGACGGAAAGCCTGCAAGCAGAGGGCAAGCGCAACAGGAATCTTGCAGGGAAAAGTAGGGAAATTTGCACCGTTCGTAGAGTTATTTGTAGGTTCCCAATGGCCCATGTGACGTATCTCTTTGTCATGTCTGGACTTTAGGGAGTATATTAGACTACTGGGTTGCCCTTTAACCCTGTGTTATCACCCTTCTTTGTTTTTTCTAATACAAAACAGTTGATGCTGCAAGTTATTGTCCCTTTCCCCCCACATTTAAATTAAAACAGTTTCGAAATTGAAATCCAGGCTTTTGTGTGTGTGTTGGTGTGCGTGTGCAGTGAACACCAGTAGACCCCCAGGACCACAACCTTACTTTCTGCCAGTGAAGAGGTGAGAGGGTTACATAAGAAAAGTAGCCCTCCCCTACAACTGATGGGTCTCAGATGGCACACATTAGGCCATCCCTCCTTTTGTTACACTTAATTTACGGAGTAAATAAAGAACCCAATAGTTTGGTGTGCAGCTACTCAATAATAATAATAATAATAATAATAATAATAACAATAATAAATTTATTGTTTATACCCTGCCCATCTGGATGGGTTTCCCCAGCCAACCTGGGCAGCTTCCAGCAATATATAAAAAATAATAAAATGTTGGACATTAAAAACTTCCCTAAGCCTTCAGATGTTTTCTCAAAGTTGTGTAATTCTTGGGCTTTAGTTTACACATGAGAAGACTTGGATTTTTATGGGCTACTGCTGTTTACAAACATGAGTACTGTGGTACCTCGGGTTACATACGCTTCAGGTTACAGACTCCACTAACCCAGAAATAGTACCTTGGGTTAAGAACTTTGCTTCAGGATGAGAACAGAAATCGTGCTCCGGCGGCGCAGCGGCAGCAGCAGGAGGCCCCATTAGCTAAAGTGGTGCTTCAGGTTAAGAACAGTTTCAGGTTAAGAACGGACCTCCAGAACGAATTAAGTACTTAACCCGAGGTACCACTGTAATCATAAATTTGTTGAGGGTGAGCTTCCTACGCCAGGCATGGCACCTCCAGGGACCTGTTCATCTGCTGCACCTAGCTATGCATGGCAGGGGGAAATTTTCGCTTGGCAGTTTTCTGGCCAAGAGCAGAAACCTTGCCTATTTGGGTGAGACCAAGGCATATGCAACTAGGCACTCCATTCTGAGATGTAGCCAGCCAGGTACCCCTGGAAGCTCACAAGCAAGGCATGGAACGGAAGGCTTTCCCTTATTCCTTTGTTCGCTCCTATTGTTTTGTGAGCAATTTATATGGAAATGGCATACAACATAGAAACCGGCCAAATTACAAACAGATAGATCCAGGGTTGTTGGTTTTTTTTGTGCCAAGTACCTTTTATAATTATTTGTTTTTTGGGTGGGTGGACTAAAAGAGATTAGCATCTTTTTGGTTTTGTGGGCATTTTTAAAATGAATCCATCAATACACTGTAGAGGTATCCCTAGAAAACTAACCTGCAGAATTTTGGGATAGTTGCAGGAATTATGGGGTTAGGATAAATTGGGGAGTGGGGGGCAGCTTCTGGGTTGTGTTCTGTTCAGCTGGCAAAAGATGACAAACGAAGGGGAAAGCTGGTTTGGCAGGAGTGGAAGAGTGGGGAAAAGGCCAAAAAATGGTGAGGAGGGGGAGGAGACACAGTTTTACTATTTGGCTATTTTAAAAGTTTACTCGCTCATTGATCCTCAGTTGTGTTGTTGGCCCTAATTGTTTTTTGTTTATTGCCTTGGTGGTGCTGAAAAGCCTCACACGCCAGCAATAATTGCTCTAAGGGTTTGTGAAGCTTTCCTTCTTAACTTTTCCTTTAGAGAAAAATAATTCACTTTGGCTGTAGCTGCATGAATTAATGCTGCACTAGAAGAAGCAAACAGAATGATTATTGCAAAATGCATAAGAAAACGAGAAATGAAAACAAGCCATTTATTTAAACAAAGCATTTCTATGGCAAAAGTACCGTATTTTTCCGTGTATAAGACTAGGTTTCTTTACCAAAAAAATTAGTTTAAAATTGGGGCTTGTCTTATATATGGGTAGTGCTGAAAGGTGTTTTCTTAATTTAGAGTCCCCCAAAATAGGTGGTGTCTTATACACGGAAAAATACAGTACATATGATACAATCACATTTTTCAAAGAACCAACTTTGCGTTAACAAAAAATCTAGTTCTTATAAAGATGTTCTTATAAAGATTGTTCAGTTTAAGTAAGAAACATTAAAACATTAAAACATATTTTCAGTGAAATTCACATTTCAAAAAAGAATACAAAGTAACTGTCCTTAGAATTTCCAGCTTCTTTTCAATGGGAAAAAGTCTGCATTTTTTCTTATTCTGTATGAGAAATAAATGGAAAACATGAGATGCAAGATGAACTGAGGGACAAGAGTTAAGAAGACTAAATAAAACCTGTGTAATTTACAATGACCTTGGTTTTCTTTACGAAGCTGCTTTAGTACCATTAAGCACCACTATCCCCCTAATCGTGTCGTGCAGTTTGAGAGCTGTGTAGGTAGGAGACACGGTTAGAAAAATAACAATGCATGGCAATGCTTGCCGTCATCACCTCAATAAAACAGAGTTCAAGGGACAGCACATTTCATCAGACATGACAGCAGAACAAGTTGTGCAATTACAATGGCCTGGCTGAAAGAGCTGCAAGTTTGGCTTGTTAACTTTTCACTGCTCCTGAAATCTGTACCACTAAATATTGCCAATACCACCAGGAAGCGGATGCCAATACCACCAGGAAGTGTGTTATCCACCCACCTTTTCCAAAAAGCAGAACTGGGCTGGAACCTCATTGAGTCATGTATGACCCATGAATTTGGTTCATTTGGCTGCATCAGAAACTGGAATAGAGTTGACGACCCAGAATGGCTAATTTGCTTCTATGGATGTTGCGTGGCATACTTCATGAACGCCATCCAGTTGTGCGCGACTGGCGCATTTGGGTTATTCGGATAGCTTGATCATTGTGTTCCGGGGCTGTTTTTCTGGAAGACTCTTTGTGGCCCAGAATGGATATCGGAAAGTGGATTCTGTGGATGCTTTGATGCTTATTGCAGCAGTGTCATCCAGTCATGCGTGTCTTGTGCATTTGGTTTGGTTGGGTCAGAAGCTGCCGTTCCATTCTGTTCTGCATGTGAAGTTGTTAATAAAAGTATAATATTGAAATGAGTTGCATTTTATGACATTGTCCTAAAGTTTTTCTAATACTTTCGCTGTTCTTGGCATAGTTTATATCATGAAATGGCCATCCTTAACAGAAACTCTTCAGATACAATGGATAAATATTATTTTCTTTTCTATTGGAATGGAATATGTGACAGGGCCTAGGAGTCATTTATACAATATTATCACATTTTTAATGGGGATGCAACTGTTTGTGTCAAGTGAAGACATGGAGAGCTTGATTGCTGGCTACCTGCTAGCACCTGAGATTTGCGGGTCAAACCAATCAGTCAGGGTTGGAGAATAAAACCAGTGGAGTATGTGATTGGTTTAGTCAGAAGAAGGGGAACGGGTCTTTGAGGTTTTTTAAGAAGCTGGCAAGAATAAATTTGGAGAACATAAAACAACATTGTCAATGCTTCCCATTTTCCTTTGCCTTGAACCCCACCCCTTACTGAGTACTCTGAGAAGCCCCCATCCTCCCCTGCCATATTTTGCTTTCAGATATTATTATTTAGTGCATTTATATCCTGTCTTTCTCCCAAATTGGGATTTCCCACCACATCTCTGGCTGGATCCTTAGCTGTTCCCCCAGGACAGTGATTGCAGTCAATAGATCCATTGAAGCTATTGAGACTTGTAGATTTGGGAAGTTAATTACGGGGAAGACACAAACTTCTGCATCGTGGAGGTATTCCTTTTTAACTAATTATCTGGCTTTCAACACAGCTTGAAATTAACACCCATATTTATATGAAAAAGGATCAGGGTTGTGAATTGGGTTATGACACTAGCAGACATTGTTTTCCCTAGTCTAACCACTGAAACTTTGTTCCTGCAAGTTTTCTGAATTGGGAATGCCAAAAACTTCCCAGCAACCACATTGGCTACAGCCATGGTACATTAAAAAGCAATAAAAATAATTGCCCACGTTCTGCCCCATTTCCAGGAGGGCTGGGCTACCTAGTGTTCCTAATCATTCATCATGTTCTTCAAGGGCCCCTAATTGGAATAAATTGAAAGATATGAATACATTTACTGAAAATAGATGTAAAAATTGCACCCCCATAGGATCTCCCGCCTTCTCTCCATGGAGGAGGTACAACTCGGCTTGTTTATCAATATGCATTATTGAAATAGTATGGGGCAATCTATCTTGGATGTCATGAACCCCCAAGAGAGCGGAAGACTTATTATGAGATTTCCTCTGACTGTCTTGGCAATATGAAATTTGTGAAACTTCTACCTTTGTATACAAGTTTTTTTGAGAATACCGAAGAAACTGTGGTGTGAGAAACTGGCTTTGGAGGGCCTCTAGAAACTGGATGATCACCTGCGCTGGGAAGTCCCCATAGAGGTGGGGCAGGGCCAAGGCAGGAAGCAGCAGTTGGAGGAATGCCCTGTCCTGGATCAAAGTGCCTTGCAGCCAAACCGTGAGATACTGCCGGGGTCTTAATGGCCTGGAGCAAAACCCCTTCTCCAGTGCTTCTGTCAGATGCACACTTCATCCACGGTGTTTCCTGTTAAAGATCTGAAGTTGCTGCTAAGAAAAATCCCTGGCATCAGACCCTCAGCTGTCTTACTTTAGGCTGCAGGTAAGGACTTGTATCAAAGGCTTGCTCCTCTTTAAAAAGAGAGAAACCACAATCCCACAACAGAAACCTAGATGTCAGAGATAATATTTTAGCCATTTCCCCTGACATAATAGCAGATGAGTGTGTGTAAAGAAGTATGTGGTTGTTCTCTCTCTCTCTCTCTCTCTCTCTCTCTCTCTCTCTCTCTCTCTCCTACCTGAGAACCCTTTTCTACTCTCCATTGCTACACTCCAGACATAGATATATTGCCTCCATAAGAACTAGGCTTCCAATGTCCCAGGGAGTTGCGTTTAAAACTTACAGTTAATTAGGAACCCTGCTAAACAAGCAAGGTGGCTGGCCGGACGCTCTTAACA